GGGACTGCAAGTGCTCGGCTCCATGTACTACTGGCTGGCCGACAAACACATACCACACACACCCGCACGTATCAAGTGTGTATGTGTGTATTTTGCAACGCATTATTTCAAACATTTCTCACATATGCACAAGCATTCAGAAACATTAACACAGCCAAGCATGCACACATGCGTAATAATCCTGATTGATTCCGTATGTGCAACAAGGCCACTGTTTTGCCTTGGGGACACCATTACAGAGCTTAGCGCCTACACAAAGAGGAGCGCACAACTGTATGTGAGTGTAAGTGTGTGTGTGTGTGTGTGTGTATACATTCACAGAAGACCTTTACAGAACACAACTTTTATTGAGACGGCGGTTTACACCACAAGGCAAATCATGACTCGGCATGTTTGCAAACAGGTAAAAAACATCAGGTGGGTGTTGGTCGGGATCACTGGACGTAAAAGATTTTAAAAATGCATCTTTACTGAATCAAACCAGGCCTGGAAACCTCTGAGCAAATTCACTAATAAGGGTCCTTGGGCATGACAAAAGTGGTTTGTTCAAAAATGTAAATTGCATTGATCGGGTTTCTGCCAGCAGTGTTTCTTGACTGTTTCTCTTTGTCAGGTTGTGTTTTTTTCATATCTGTGATTTTTAGCCACGGAAGCAGTTTGGCTCGAGGGTTTGGCTGCGTCTACTGGCCTGTACCTTACTTAGGCCAAGACTAAAAAAACCTCAGCAGGGTTGGGTCAGGTTGGGTTTATTTATTTTGTTCCTGCAGGTAGATTAGCATCACAGTGAGTGAGTGAGTCGGCATCTTTTTACACACACCGTCAACAGAACAGGACAAGCTTAGTTAACATGATAAGCAAGGCAGCAAAGTGCTAAAGACTCGAATCAATATATTAGAAGGCTGCTACAACTCGCTTGCCTGTGGCTGTTTCTTCTTCTTTCTCTGTCTTTACTCGTAGTATTACCTAAATGCGTAGTTTTAGCACAATGTCTACAGATGGCCATTGCAATAGCCCTACATCCAACCATTTGTCCATTTTCCTCTGCTGATTCAAGGCTGGCTGTGGTAGCAGCAGGCAAAGCAAGTGAACCCAAACGTCCCTCCCCTCAGCACATTTTCTGGCTCCCCTGCTCTGGGATTTTTAAGCATTTCGAGACTAGTTGACATATTCAGTCCCTCCAGCAAGTTCTGGGTCATCCAAGGGTTTCTTCGCAGTCGAACGTGCCCAGAAAACCTCCAAAGGGATGTGCCTTGGACTACTTCAACTGGCCCCTATTGATGCCAAGTGTCCACACCTCAAGCTTCTTCTGAATGCCCTCTTCACCCTCTGCGTGGCTGAGTCCAGCCACCCACCAGAGGAAGCTCATTTTCCTGTTTGTCTACACAGCGCTCACTTTCCAAACTCATGACCTTTGATGAAAGATGGAACAAAATTGGCGAATCAAAAGCTTCACCTTAAGGTTTAGATCCTCTTCACCACAAGTGTCCAGAACAACACCTGCGTTACTGCTGATGCTGCACCAACCCATCTGCCAATCCCCTGATTAATTTAACCCTTGCCTGACCACAAGATCCCAAGATACTTGAACACTGACACTTTGGGCAAAGATCCACTTTTTGGCTAAAGAGAGCGGCTTCCTGACAGAGAACCATAGCCTTAAACTTAGAGGTACTGCTTCACAGTCAGCTGTAAATTGTCTGCTAGAGGTCCCTGTCCATAGAGGCAAACAGAATCATATCATCTGGAAAGAGGAGATATTAAATTTTGATGGAAACCTCCTTAGTAGCCTGATGAAGAGAAACAACCCCGTGCCAATGTGCAGAAAGTTAAAGCCTGTAAATAAAAACAAGAAAACAACATTGTGCTGTCAGTACAAACCAGATAATTTCACACAAGACACAATGTACCATATCTACAAATAACCAGGACAGAGCAGTTCTGCTCTGACTTGTTCTCACTAATGGCTGCTTGGACAAAGCGCTCCCTTTTCTTGGATTCAAATGCCAGTGTTTCGTACCTTTTTCCAGGTATAAGAAGCTGAAATCGAACATTTAATGAATGAGAGTCATACTTTCAAATGGCACCAATCATCCTCTAATACTGTCTGGTGTACAGGGACCCTGGGTTATTCTATGACTCAACGTTCAGCCTTCGGGACCATTTTAACAAACTGATTCAGACAGTTTCTGATCTTCAGAGAATAGTTTTTAATAAAATAAATTCAGAAAAGCCTGTTTAAAAAAGGTTATTGTGCTTTTGTAGAGGTTTTGTATCAGAAGGATGAGCAATGGCCTTGTGTACGTAATGGAATTTTAATGGACATTCGCAGAAAAAATCCAACTTTTCTGATTCCCTCAACCTCTAATCCCTTTTTTAGTTTCAGAAATCCTCTCTTGCAATGATATACTCATTAATCCCAGATGTACTTTATGCTTGTCCACTGGTTTAGCATGCCTATGTGCTTAAAACAGGAACATGAGTGTTGTCACTGTGGGAACTTTTGCATCCTCAAATAATCATTTAAATAATCATTTAAGGCAGGTTGAAATGCTTCCTTTGTGTGATGCATTTTTATAGTTTTGATATCTATCATATGTGTTATTCCTCTATCATTGTTCACTGTTTTTTTTTTCTTGAATCCACTTGTATGTGTTTTGTAATTGTTATCAAAAGTGCTGCATAAATAACTAGCACTCTTAAGCGAGCCTACTTTAGGCACTCATTATCAACAGAGCACTAATTGCCTTAACAAAGGATGGGAGGAAGAGTTTAATTTTAATAACTCTGTAATAACGATTCATCTAAATGCCCTTAGTTTAAGCAGCTATTTCCAAACAGATCATCACATACTCATTTCTAATACTCATCCTCATTTGGATGGTCTCAGGCCTGGTAAGAGGAGTGTGCTTCACTTGTAGAGAACAGTTTAAGGATTCTGGTTATTTCTACATATAGACTAGACTAACTGACAGAGTTTTTAATGCATGTAGAGGTCACTCAAGTGTGTGCTGAAGTGCATTTCTGTAGAGGTGACTTCAGGCTGCAGGTAGACAGAAGATCAGCATTGTGCCTTTTTTGAAGCAGAACTCCATGTCTGAGTGTGTGTGCATGCTTGTGAGCATTACTTGCATGCACTCATTGATATGTGTGTGTGAGAGAGCCAAAGAGAGCATGCCTCAGGGGTAAGCTGAGCTTCAGTGGGGTGAATGGCTCCAGTGTAGGACGACTTTGTTACAACCCCAGCCTGCTGCTCCTTGAATAAAGCGGGTCAAACAATGCTGACTCCTCCACTGTAAGCCAGCCTACAGTCAACCTGTCCTTTGTTCCTCTGACAATAGACCCCGTCTTAAGTTACTATGTACTGAGGAGCTCCTGAGGTCCATAACTCTATATGACCATATTTAGGTTCTGTTGTCTGTTCTGTTGCTTTTATTGAGAGGACAGCTAGAGAGGGCTGTTTATATGAGGTGTGTACTTGAATTGCCAGGTCAACATTCCCCTTTGATGAGCGGTTTTAAAGGCATGGAGAGACTTTTTGGCATCCTCCCATTTGTGAAATTGGTGAACCCACTATTTCCTTTGGTATCAAAACTACTGTAACACATCCTACTGCAGTAAATCAGTAAATCAGACCTGTTCTCAGGTGGCTTTTAGATCCACTGAGGCTGTTCCTTATCACCCATAATCTTTATGGACAACATCTCACAACATGGCCAACAAATAGAGAGCGTGAAGTCAGGTAACACCTCTGTTATAGTGCTCTTTGCTGATAATGTAGCCCACACTGGTGCATTAAGCAGCTGATAATACTGCTGTTTGAATAACAGCTTGAGAGTCCTAATACCTCTGTCTTTCAGTTAAAGGGATATTCCGGCATAAAATTAAGTGATGGTGAAGCACATTGTAACACTGACTTAGACACTCCCTCGAGAGATGAATGTTGCAGACTGCTTGCTTCTCTAGTTATACCAATTTTAGTAACGACTGCATGATAGCAATACACAGCAGTCTACCTCTCCGCACTCAAACCACAAATAATGCTTAGAACAGCACCTAACTTCATCAACAGTACATATAGGGTCATCTTGTTAGCTTTGCCTGGTTTCTTTAGCCAAGAGACCAAACACAACTCACCCACTCTCCTCCAGCAGCCGCTTTATTGTGGAAGAGCCCTGATGAGTCGATCACCAAGTGCAGCAGTGATTCGCAGCCCAAGGAAGAACATTTATGATAATTTCTTCATGGAAATGCAATCAGACTGAGACGCAAAGGCAGAAGAACTACTGTGTCTGCAGTGCAAAGTGATTATTATGACAATTAGTGCTTCATGGAAATTATCCGCTGCACTCTGTGATCGACTCGTCAGGGCTCTCTTGAGGGGTTTGTAACCCTGTGTTACGGTGTGTTTGACCCTTACTTAATTTCACGCTGGAAAACCCTTTTAAGAGAGTGTCTGCTTTAATACACATTAGAAGACTTTTAATGCTTTCTGCGTTTCTATTTTGCGTCTGAATTCACACGTGTTTTCACACCTAAATACAATTTGGTTTATCCATGTCCAGACAAATGCCCAAAAAACTCAAATTTGTGCAAAAGACCAGGGGTCTCAGTCTGTTTTCATCAAACATGGTTGAGTTTGGCTACATTGCAAGAATTTCTTGTGTTTTCAAAGTTTATCTGACCCCTCATTCGATCCCTTCCCAGGAGGATCCTTTTACTCCTGTTTGGATTGAAAAACCAAGTTTTGTCCTCCATTTATCAAATGATGAACCTACATTCGTACTTCGTTGACACATGTCACAGTAGTGTCCAGCTGTTTGGCCATCATGGCACCAGTTCAGATTATGCTGCTCTCCTGGTTTAGCGAGTGCAGAGGAAACCAGGATAGAAAATCCTGCATTGATTTAATACACCAGTTTGCTATTTTGGGGGGTATAAACTTGCTGCTCTTTCTTAAATTGACAGTCTCAGAGGAAATAATCAGTAGTAATGCAGATGTGATGGTCTGTCAGGTCTAGGCACCAGTAATACATTTCACAGGGAACAGCAAAATTGTAATAGTAATGAAGGATTGCATCTCACTATTGAATTCAAGTCATGTGATGTTCTCCTCAGCGAGTGTTTGAGCTGCAGGGAGAAAGTCTATCCCAAACTTTCCCCCCTGAGAGCGCACCTTCTCGCCCCAGGGTCCGTACCTCAGAGAGATAAGTGCTTTCTTCCTTCTCAGTTGTCTCTGCCAAGGACGAAAAGGATCAGACATGACTACACCAGCGCCAGAGAATCCTCCTTCAGCCCCAAACCAATCCAAACTCCCATTTATTATAAAAAACAACAACAGGCAGATCCAGTCACTGTGATCCGCGGCACACAACAACTGTATTCGTCTCACATTCCCTCACTTCCTTTGCGTCTGCCTCCCGGCCCGACTAGCACGATCATAATTTCTAACCCCGGCCTGAGACACCACCTGATTATTATTTCTGGGCAATGGGATACTTTAATAGCTCTCCCTGCTCCCCTTGATTGGAGATGCAGGAGATAATAGCCCCAATATTCAGAGGAGAGATGTCGGAGGTGGTGTGTGTGTAGCGGGGGTTTGGCGTTCCCCTGTTCCCTTAGCCTGGGAAATCTGGGACCATCATAGAGATGCAATGGAAAGTGTCAGAATGGCGGTAAGTTTACAATCCAAAGGTTAAACATCTTTGTTATACTTGGATGGAGGGATAAAGCAGAGGGAGTTGCTCCTTTAGATTGGTTGTCTTACTCAATCATACCAACTCATGTCTGGAGTTTTGAATGCCACAGTGTTTTCATATGGAACGAGGGCAAAGTGTCGGTAAACGGTGGGTAACTTCAGACTGACAGACGGCGCTTCCAAAGGTTGCTGAAACATTATAATCCTCTGGGAGTTTTTACACTAGTTCAAAGTCACCTGAAACCTCTCTCTCCATCTCTCTCTTTGCTGTCTTTCTCTCTCTCTCTCCATGTCAGGCATGTTGATTCAGCAGACACTGAGAGGAAGGTGCCCTGCCCTCCTACGACCTGGCAGAGATCCAGAGACAGGTACGGAAAATGAAAACTTGTTGATATGTTTGGTTTCCTCTCTCAGCCCGCCATCTCTTTTTTCACCTCGGTACATTCTCCCAGCCTAGATGTCACCATGTGGACCACAAAGATTTATATTCAAGGATAATGATACCTCCTGTTCTCAGGTAGTTAATCTGCCAAACAAAAGCATTGAATGATTTGTGATTTTGGAATGAGTTACACAGAATATTCATTGAGACGTATTCTTAACTGAACATGAAAGGCTAAATCCCTGCACATTTTCAAGAGTTCATACTAAGGTTTGGACCAAACGGTGTCCAAGTAGCTTCCCAAACACAGGCTCAAACTTAAAGAGAGCTTCTCAAGAGAAAACACCACCAGACCTCTCCATGACTTGTGGTCAGCGTCTTAAAAAAACATTCTCACAAAGCTCACGAATCCAAGGTAATAAAGAAAAGCCATCCTCAAAAGACCTGACGAAGCTCGAACACGCTTCAGGTTGCAAATAATACGCGTGCGGAGATTATTCAGCAGCTAACAAGCACAATTTGTTTTCATGAGAGCGGAAGAAGGAGGTATGGACAGTGAAAGAGATGAGCTGAGGGCTGTTTTCCTTCCCAGGCTTTTTGGTCAGAGTTGTGTTGCCTGGTGGGTTCCAGCGCTACAGTAAAAGCTTGGCCAGGCCATGTTGGAGCAGGCGGGGGCCAAAGGGGAGAAAGCAAAGGGGCCCAGAACTACACAGACGCCAGTCCCACCACAATGAGCCACTTTAGGCCCTTGTGGTTTGGCCTCGGGGGCTGGCCGCCAGCTCGCTGGAGCTCTCTCTCATCTCCTGCTACTTCTCTCCATTTCCTATTTTGATGAACGTCTCTCTCCCACTCTGCAGCTCTCGGTCTTATTTCTTTACATGTCTGTGGAGTTGCCTCATACACACCCAGATGGTTTTTGTTGCTAAGTTTCAGCAGCAGATGAGGAGGGTCGGATTGAAGCAGGTTGTGTTAAAAGAAGACAAAGAGCAACAAGAAAGCTCTGGGGATGACTGGTAGAGGTAGAGGGGGTTGGAGCTCACTCTGACAGGTGGACTTTTCTAGTTACTCCCATCCCCCTCACACACACACACACACACACACACACACACACACACACACACACACACACACACACACACACACACACACACACACACACACACACACACACACACACACACACACACACACAGATGGGGGGGACTTAGTTAAAGTAAACAAACAGTACGATATATTAATGAAGTCATCACCCATTAAAGCTCCTTAGATTGAGAAGTTTTTTGACTTTTTATAAGATAGACTGAAATCCATATTGATAGACCATCATGGACAAGATTCATAATTCTCATATTGCAAGACTGATACACATATCTCATATTGCATACTCTGCCAAGCCCCTCCCACCAAATCATGCACCAAACATGCATGGCAGCTGTTTATACTGCAAACTTTATGTTCCACTCAGCTTGTACCGCTGGACTCAGACGACAGGAGCACTGACAGCTGATCAGTTTACACCTCCAAAGAGCTCTCTCTCTCTCATCCAAACCACTGTGGAGGGCGAGCGAGCGAGTGAGTGAGTGGGAGAAAGAAGCAGGGATCCTGAGAAGGTCACTTAGAAGACAGATGATGCAAGTTTGTAAAGATATGCTCTGATTGGCTGTCGTGAAATTGAATTTTAATTCAATGAGTATAAAACTCAAACTGAATGATTATTCCGATGCATTAATTTGACAATCATGCTACAGCTGTTTCATATATATTTATATATATACATATAGATAGATAGATAGATCGATAGATAGATAGATATAGAGATAGATTGATAGATAGATAGATAGATAGAGAGAGAGAGAGAGAGAATAGCAGCGATGGCTCCCATCAACCCTGTCCTCATCCAGGAGACACAGGTTCAACCTTGGCTTCGTAGCAGTAGCAGTAAGAGTCACACCCCATTGGCTCCTCACATACCTTCCCTCCACCACCCATCCACCCATCCACCTCCCTACCTGCTAGCATGCCTACCTGCCCCCGCCCCCCTGCTGTCTTCATAAGAAAAGGGTAAAAGAGAGGACAATGGCTCCTCTATTGCGCTTTGCATTGCTTACAAGAACAACAATTGCGCCCCTCACTTTTCTTTATTCAGTCTCTCCCTCTTTATCTCTTTCCACTCTTCTTCATCACTCCATCTCATGCCATGGGAAAACCCTCCTGTGTGGATTATTTTGTACCTGTGTGGTTGATCAGAAGAAGGAGGATGATGGTTGGGGGTTGTTGGGTGGTGCCCAGGTCTTGTGTTTGGCTTCAGACTCCCCACTGTTTTCCTACGCCTCCTCCTTCTCCTCCCTTCCTTCATTCCTTCCTTCCCTCTCCTCCTCCCATCCCAAGGGAGACAGCTTAATAAGGAGGTACGGGTCCGCCATCCCTTCTTCTCTCTCGGTCTCTCTCTAATTAAGTCTGTCGCCTTGGGTCGGTTCTTTTTGTTTGTGTCCGTCTGACAGGCTGAAGATTCTGGACTCAAAACACCTCAGTGTCTTTCCTTACATTACCCCAACAAACATACTTCCTTTTTCTTAATTCATCAAGTCATGCTATCCATATCTGATTGAAAGTGTTCTCTTCCTCCTTGCAGCTGTGGCTGACCCACTGTGCCCCACTGATCTGGTAAAGACATGCATGCAGAATCGGAGAATCAAGGAAGCAGCAGCAGCAGCAGGTCCTTTCTGTACAAGAAGAGCTTTGGCAGCTTTAAGTGGTTGGTGCACTCTGCAGGCCTCTTCAGTCTGTCTTGAGGTCAGCGAGTGTGAACTCAAATTTAGACCTCTTGTGGTGCACAGGTTATCTCAAATCCAGCAATAATAGAGCCTAGGATTACCAGAGCTGATATGTATGATGTTGGGTATCATGTTGGGTTTTTGGACCTAGAGGAGACGTTTGAGAAGTTCACCGAAAAACTTTCCTATCCTCTTTTCCTTAAAGACAAAAAAAAAACCAATCTTATAGCTGGTGGTCTTGCTTCCTTTTGTGGATCATCAAGAGGCATCAATATGAATCTCAGTCTATTTCCTAGCAGTAAACACACCACACAGCAGCTTTAATAACATACAATCCATTTTTATATATTAAGTTTAACCTCAAATAAATTGTCCAGATCTTAAACTCAGATTTTGTTTACAAAAACAGCCTTCAGACAGGAGAGAAAAAAGATCAGAAAAGCTGAGATAAAAGAGAAGAAAGGAGACAGGACAATAAAAGACACAGCCGAGGAGACGAGAGGAGAAGAAAAGTGTAGGGTGGATGGAGGGCGGTGTGCCTTCACCTCTCTGTTGACCTGCTTCGTTTGAAGTGATTACCGGCTGGCTGGGGACTTTCAGAGCAGGACAAAGAACGTCACACGCAAGGCCACATACCTTTAAGCCTGTGTCACGATGCGGTGACGCTCCATGTCTGAACTTACACACTCATCTAAACACACACGCAGACACTCAGCAGACACACAAGTATGTAGGCGTGCAGACACGGACAGGCAGGCGACTTCTCAGGCAGGCAGGTACGCACATACCAGGGCACGGCTAATGACTACCTGCCCTGTCTTCAGAAACCGGGGTTAGGGTGTCTGTGTTGGCATTGTCGGGGTCAGATTGGAGAAGAATTGAAAAAGGGTCCCCTGGAACGGCGGCAAGGCCTCTTTTTTAAAATCCCAGGATTTTGATTGACAGCAGCGGGCTCCCGAGAGGAAACCTGAATGCTTGAGTTTCTGTGGGAAACACAAAAGACGTCAAGAGTGAAATGGCTTCACAGACACAGAGACGGACAGGTCTGGCTCCAGGTAGCTGGCCAGACAGGTAGCCTTTCCGTGCAGCCCCACTGTAGTTATGTAATATAAGTTGAAAGTGCTTTCACTGAAAGCCTCTAAGAAGTCTGCTGTGGGAAGAATGTGGACTTAACGACAAAACCCACACAATTGTTCATACAGTATATTTCTGACATTAAAGCTCCTGGGAGGATATTTTATGAAATAGTCTACCATTCATAAAGACTGACAGTTTGAGTAGAGTGACCACACTGTGAATCCCCAAAAAGAGGCAGTGCACGTGCAAAATTTCAGAGGTTTTTTGGGTCGGTTCGAGTGTTTTTTACACGCTCCAAACTCAGTTAAATGCATAGTCTGAATTACCAAAAAGACACTTAACCAGGCCTCTTGGAAATATTGAAAAATACTTGCACAAAGTTGCATTTATAAACAATATATTTATTTATAATGATAATAATACATCAGATTTCATATAGCGCTTTATCAGAGACCCTCAAAGCGCTTTACATTGGATACATCATTCATTCACTCACACAGTCACACTTTGGTGGTGGTAAACTACCTTAGTAGTCACAGCTGCCCTGGGGTAGACTGATGGAAACGTAGCTGCCATTTTGCGCCTACTCCGACCACCACCACACAACACTCACAATCATACACTAGTGGAGGACACACACTGGGAGCAAGGTGGGTTAAGTGTCTTGCCCAAGGACACAGCGGACAGACTTGGGATAGGGGGAATCGAACCGCCAACCTTCCAGTTATTGGACGACCACTCTACCTCCTGAGCTACTGCCGCCCTATTTAGAATAGAATTTATCTATTCTAAAGCATTTCTCCTCGACAAAATTATCAGTCATGTACAAATATTTCTCCCTTATGTTTTGCTTACCGGCAGACATGCGTGCATCTCATCAATGGCGTTGCTTTGCGGAGGAGCAGAGCAGCAGATCCGCTGCACTGTATGATAATGAATAAAAACATGTCCTGGGGTTTGGTGTCTCAGAGTGTGTTTCAAATGAACCATTGAACGTGTATGGTAAATACAGTAGAAAAAAAACGGGCTTCCATACAAAAGCCTAGACATTTGAAGGATTTTATAAACTCCCCATGGACAGGCCGGACAGCCCCCCAAAGGAGAACATGTCTGGGTAAAAGAAGACGTATGGTCACCCTAGGTTTGAGTGTTCTCACTTTAATGTTTGAAACCAGTATAAGGGGGTTGGTGTCAGCCAAAGAGCTGGAGCTTTAAACATTAAATAGATCTAGAGTATGTCTGCTGAGTTCATTGATCGTGAGGACTCTGACCATATCCATGTAGTATTTTGTATCATCTGCATGTGTTCTTAAGTATTTTCAGTGCTAAAAGAAGTTTTTTCAACTTTGCGCTTTTGCTAACCTCCCTATGATTATGTTTGTGTATTTGTGTGTATAAGAAGGCCACACACACTCACATACACACACTGGAGAAGATTAACTGTGTTCGTCAGTTTTAGAAAATGTGAATGTACATGTGTGTATGTGTGTGTGTGTGTGTGTGTGTGTGTGTTGCCTCAGCTCCGGGTAGGGGGCCAAGTTTCATTGTGCTCTGTTGTGATTATTTTGTTTATTTTTATCCTGCTCTGGGCTGTAATTGAGGTCTGCGTAAACTTTTGGTCGGTTTGTTTTATACTCTGCCCTTCTTTTTTTCCCCCCCTATTCTGGGAAGCAGTTTTCCTCTCTTCATCCTCTCTTCTACCCTGTCTTCCTCTCTCTTGTTGCTACTCTGATGTCCCCACACTCCACATCAATAGATTTCATTAGAGCCTGGGGGATCCTGCAGGGTCAGACGCATGCAGCGGGAAGCCGCACGTCGTGTGGAGTGTGTGGAAGTGGTGTGTATAAATGTGTGTATGTTTGTGTGTGTGTGTGTGAGTGAGTGAGAGAGTGGGTAGGGGTACCACAGCTCCTTTTTTTTCTAATCATCTCGTCGTTTTCTAATGATAGGCCTCGTACCACAGCTACTGGGTGTGGCGCCCGAGAAAGCCATAAAGCTCACAGTAAGTCACTGCGATAGAGAGCACTCTGACACAAGCGCGCACGTTCACACGCAGACAGAAGAGCTTTAAAGGCTTTTTAAAACCTTTTTGGATGGATTTGATGGGTTACTGCTCACATAAGTCCAAAACTATGATAAATATTTGTTGTCAAAGTAAACTGTTGCTCTTGAGACGCAGCTCTCAGACCAGATTTTGGAGGACTAAGTGTAATCATATCAGCCTGCAGACTCTGCAGAAAGAAGAAAATTTGACTTTGGTTTGTTTACAGCAGGGAAACAAAGAAAAGAAAAGACAGGGGGGGTTAAAAACACAAACACTGAAGGGTGTGACAGGAGAGCTTTCAAAATTAAAGGTGAAACGTGAAGTAAACATTCAAAAGAACATTTTATTGGACCGTGACGATGCAAAAAACTCAAACCAGGTGCTGCAGTGATTCATGCCAACCTGTTAACCTTTTCACAGGAGCTCCTTTTAAGGACTATAAGGAGTTAATAAAGACTTTGGACGAATCCCTGATACACTGAACTATTTCAGAATGAACATTTTATGACAAATGATTGATTTCTGGGATAAAAGTAAGGATGTCAAACAGTCACCTAAAAATATCAAGATTAATTGCAAAGTTACAGTCATGACGGTTAATCCTTATTTCACCTGCATGTTCAATATATCATTATTTTGCATTTCTAGGGTGACCATGTGTCCTCTTTTACCCGGACATGTCCTCTTTTTGGGGGGCTGTCCACCCTTGTCTGGGGGAGTTAATAAAATCCTTCAAGTGTCCGGGGTTTTGTATGGAAGTTTTGAATTTGTGTCACGTGGAATTACTGAGTTAGAAGCGCATAAAAAACACTCAACCTGATCTGGAAAACTCTCAAAATTTACTACGTCCGACTCCTTGACTCCGCCCCGCGTAGTTGTGTCCTCTTTTTGGGAATTCAGAATATTGTCACTCTAGCATTTCAATCAATCCATGTGAACAATAAATGTTTTTTTTATGAGTGTCTTGATTTAGAGACTAAAAAGAATCATTAAATTTAATTTATGAACTTGATTTTAAGGTCCATTATTCAAATTAAATATTCTATTTTCACACCAGTTTGGTCTGAAACATGACGTTCAGGTGCATATAAAAGCTTTAAAGTGCGTATTCAGTGAAATTATTTGTAATTATTAACTTTAATTTGCAAACTGAGCTGTCTGCAAGTTTTTTAAAGTGAAATGTGTCATTTATAGGCACAGTGGTTTTATCTATCTAATAAGAGCATTACTTCAACACCTTAACCCTGCCAGAATTCATGCTTTGACACTGATTGGCCTGATAAATAGTCATGTAGTAGAGATAACATGGAGTAAATTGGTTGTAATCTAGGGTGAACTCTCACTGGATTATGTCAGGTGTGACATACAAGAGGCTGAACTTCCTCCTGTTTCTGCACGTGTGAACTGCCCATCATGCGTTTTGATAAACAGCACTTACAGCGATAAATGTAAGTGCTCTGTGACCTGCAGTAAATCGAAGCATCTTTCTCTTTACTGTGAGCAAAACCTTGTCAATTAACCCTGATATTATCTAACCTCTTATGTTTCCAGATAAGGGGACTTTGGTGAGAGAGGAGACCAGGGAGAGAAATCACACAGTCACAGCTAATTGCTAAGATCCTGGTCCATGCATCAAGTCACCACAGCAGGTATGTTTTCCACTTAAATCTTTCCATTTAAAAGGCTTTACTCTCTATGAAGTCAACAAAGTCTCAGCCAGGACCATGTGAGAGGGGATGCAAGGTTAGGCTAGGATAGACTATGTTATAGCTTTGTTTAATACAGGATATTTGGGCTTTGGTAGGTTGACGCCATTGCTTGTAACTGTATTATAACTATTTTTGTGTTTATGAAACCCCCTGAATCATGTCAGCTGTGACCAAAACTCAAACTTTTGATAACTTTGATGGTTCAAGTCTCATGAAACCGTTAATAAAAGGGTTCAAAGTGGACCAGATTAGCCTTTTTAGAGGAAATCATTTCTAAAGGATCCCTGGAAATGGACCAAAAGCCAGTACACAATGTTCTGTTAACATTTACACAATGTACAGAGACATTTTCAGGTCTCAGACAGGAACCGGACATATGTGCAAGAAACCATTTTTCCAGGTGAACCTATCATGAGGGACTGGATCTTTGAAAACTCCACTGAAATCCAAAATTGTCGATTTCTTTGCCTGGCTTGATGCACCTGCAAAGTTTTATGATTTTGAAATCATGTCATGTAGGAACTAAATAATTATAATAATGATAATCCATGAAGTTACTATTCAGTCCTAGATAAAAACAAGATAAAAAAAATGAAGTAGAGAAGCAATTTCCCACACTGCACTGGTCATGCAATGCGATGTCTGCAGCAAGGAGAGAGCAGGAGAAAAAGAAATATATGTAAAAAAAAAAAAAAAGTGTGTATATGAACTCTGGCAGTGAGAGTTTTTCTTGATCAAATGAGGGAGTGTAATCGTAATCATCCATTTTTTCTATCTTAGCCTAAACATGAAGCCTCTCCCTCTTCCTCTTCATCATCTCCGCTCTTCAAAGTGTGCTGTGCTGCAGAGATGCTGTACAGCACACAGTGTATACAGTCCTGTATGTGCGGTACACATCTCTTAACTATGTTTACCTGTGATCTGAGGGCCGCCTCCTGACAGTCAAACAGACAGACGCGGAGCTGTTTGGAGGCCAGGAGTCGACGTTTGTTGATGGAACGTGTAAAGATCACACATGAAAGAGCAAATGTGCATACTGTGTATGCTCGCAGGAGTGTGTGCACATGACAGACAGGACAGGTGCACGGACACACAAACACACACACACAAGTGCACACATATACACATACATGGAGGAGAGGAAGATTGACAGCAACTGCTACCTGAACCCCCTACAGCCCCCTCCACATCAGACTGTTACCTGCTCCCTCCCATCATAGGTTTTGATCACTGAGCTGTCACAGTCTACCCCCAATGCATGTACACACACACACACACACACACACACACACACACACACACACACACACACACACACACACACACACACACACACCAGCAGTCTCAGCAAATGAAAGAGGGTCTTTCACTCACCCCTCTTTTGATGCTGATCACTAAAGCAAAGTATTTCAGGATACACAAGTCATTATGGGGTTAGCTCCACTCAGGCACATTCAATTGACCTTATTAGTTCTGGGAATGTGTGTAAGAACTGTTTTAGCTCATTTAGCTCCACCAATTTGTTTTGTAGCAGAGTCAAAAATCAAAAAGACGATAAAGTCACCGAAGGAGAACAGAAATAAAATCTTCTGCTGTGTTCTGGGTGTGAAAGGCAGTGGTCGTCTGTTTTATACGCCCCATATGGATTCAGAAGCAGAACCATAACTGATGCAAAGAGAGAGGAGGGGATAAATGTAGAGGAGAGGAGTGTGGACGGATGGATTTTTCCTCTTTTCCTCTGTGAGCCGTCGTGACAGCTCCTTTCATCCTGGCTGAGGCCCCGGTGTTAGTGCTGGCACAGCACTCTGCCTGCCACTTTATCACACACACACACACACACACACACACACACACACACACACACACACACACACACACACACACACACACTCTTACACACAGAAGTCGAACCCTTCTGAACCCTCGTCTAGTGAGGCTCCAGCCACAGCACATGAAATCTGTTTATATCATTTGGTAGCTGTGAAAGTGTCGGTTTGGACCACAGTGTCAGCCTCACTCTATAAAACAAAAGACAGAAACAGATGAAGATTCAAAGATCTTACATGTTCGTTTCTATGTCTCTAAATTTGATCAGAAATGTCTTCATTTTCATGTATGAGCTTTACCACCTCATTATATCCTAATCTAGAGTTTTCCTCTCCTCGAACCTCTGCACCATTAAGCCCCCAGTGTGAGTTGCCAGTTTGTAATGATTATTTGGTAAGAACGGCATGTTACATTGGCTGAACTGGCTGGATGCTGATCTGGCAGTTTTAGGACTTAGTGGGTCACTGCAGTGAGAGGAAACAGGGTGTGACTGAGGGGCAAGATATAGTCAGATTCAGTCTGCATTAAAGGGATATTCCGGTGTAAATTTAAGTTATGGTCAAACACACCGTAAAACCGAGTTAGACACCCTTTCATGACATGAATGTTGCCGACTGCTTGCTTCTCTAGTTATACCAACTTCAGCAATGACCGCATAATAGCAATACATTGTGGTCCACATCTCCACATGCAAACCTCAACTAAAAAGCCACTCTATAGCCACAAATAATGCTCAGAACAGCACCTAACTCCATCAACTGTACATATAGGGTCTCAGTCATAGCACTAGCCATCAAACATCTTTATAGTTTTGCCTGATTTTTTTAGTAAAGAGACTAAACACAACTCACCCACTCTCCTCCAGCAGCCACTTGCCTCATCATAATTATCATTTTGCACTGCAGATGTGGTAGTTCTTGTGCCTTGCATTTCCATGAAATCATAATCATAAATGTTCTTCCTTGAGCTGCGAAACTCCGCTGCACTCAGTAATTGACTCGTCAGGGCTCCTCCACAGACAAGCGGTTGCTGGAGGAGAGTGAGTGAGTTGTGTTTAGTCTCTTTACTAAAGAAATCAGGCAAAACTATAAAGATGTTTGATGGATGGGACCCTTTATGTACTGTTGATGAAGTTAGTTGCTGTTCTGAGCATTATTTGTGGCTATAGAGTGACTTTTTGGTTGAGGTTTGTGCATAGAGACGTAGACCGCTGTGTATTGCTATTTCGGGTCGTTACTAAAGTTGATGTCACTAGAAAAGCAAGCAGTTGGCAACATTCAGCTCTCGAGGGGGTGTCTAACTCAGTGTTACGGCGTGTTTGACCATAACTTAAATTTACAATGGAATATCCCTTTAATTCCCCCAGTATGAATAGCTTGCACATCAAGAGTCCAGGTGCTAAACTGGCCTTTCCGCAGCCATGATTTCTCATCCACTGCAAACATCTGGTGCACAAAGACACAGAAAATATGTCCCTGCTCTGAATGTTTTAAAAACACCTCACCAAATCAAGTTTTTGTTGTTATGGCAACAGCAGCAGCATAAGGTGCATGTTTACATTTTACCGTCATGTGGAGCACACTGTCTCTGCAGAGGGGTCAGGTCTCTGTGTTTTAAAGTGAGGGGCTGCACTAAAACAAAATCAGGCAAATTGTAACCCAACATAATTTTAGATTAATATTGGAAAAAAAATATAGAGTGACGTGTTTCAGGTCATGTATACACAGCAAATGTGTCTACCCTTCAGCTCGTGACATCCATGGCATCTTTTTAATGTTATGTTTTGGCTCCTCAGACCCCGTCTCTCGCCCCCCCCCTTTTTTTTTTCTAAGAGGGAAAACGTAAAGCTTAGGGACATGTGAAAAAGCAATTGTAGAAAATTTCAGGGCAGGCTGTTCTGCAATTTTCTTGAAATTTCAGGAGTGTACTTGTAAAAATGGCACGCTCATTGTGGAGGCGGTAGAAATTTTAAGTCTCTATAATGGGTTTCTAAATCTGGTTTGATGTGAGTTGTAAAAACATTATCCAAAGAATCTCACACACACAGACCTGCAAATGTAGCATGAAGTGTGCAAAGTCGAAATGATTTTTATTTATGGATGGCAGCTAATGTTTTAGTGACTGCTAATCTCCTGTGAGGGTCTGCTGTGTGTGTTTGTGTTCGGGGAGGTTCCTCAGATTTACTAAGCTCTTTCTGCAGCACACTTTGCGCTCACTCACACACACACACACACACATACATAGCCAGGAGCTGCGATGCGTGCAGAAGGTGCTGACGTACCAGGTTTCTAAGGATCACCTTGCCTTGTAATTACCTGGGAATCATAAGAGAGCCGCCGACGCTGTCACTCCATAATCACAACCCTCCACTTCTCTGCCTCCACCCCGACCTTCTCTCACTTCTCTTGTTTGGACAGCTCCTCTCTCTGTCCCTGCCTCACTTTTCCCCTCTCTTATTTGCTCATTTAGTTTATTTATCTGTTTCTCTCTCGATCTGTCCTGCATGATCAAAGTTTTTCCTGTTATTTTCTACAACAAAGCAGCTCTGTGGGACGAGGAAGCTCCTCTGCGTCCCTCCTTTCATCTCATATTATCGCGTCTAATTGTCAGCTCATCTCCCTGAACAATGTTGTTGTTTACTCCTCTTGGGTAAACAACACCTCCATCTCCTCCATCTCCAGTCTCATTAGTATCCAATTGAAGGAGTGAAAAGCTGTAAGGGGACTGGAGCCAATAGCCGCTTAATGCTCGAGCTATTAGCCGGCATGTAATCAACTGGGTTATTTCCATAAAACAAGTCATAAAGAGTTTAGCTGTGAGGTGTAGCAGCTTCTGAGCAAGCAGCCCTCCTGCTATTCACAGCCTCTCGTCGGGTCTGTGTTATTTAAAAAGCGGCTGCACACACACCTTCAATGAGACTATTATGATCTCTGTCTCTCCCTCCTCCTTAAAATTTGGGACATTAAGTTAAAAAAAGCCCCCGTTTCAGATCCAAGTTGATGCTTTCCGGTAAAGCAAGAGAGGACAAGCACAATCCATCATTCATAAGGAAGCCAATGAAGGAGGGGGGGGAGACAAGGAGAGAAACAACAACAAACAGACCAGGCCTATTTAAGACAGAGTGGGTGCCATGGCAACCAATTGCTATCTAATTGCGATGTGCATGTAGCTACAGTAACCACTGGCAACTGTAGGAAGTGGGAGACGATATGTGAGGAGATGACAGACAGGAGGTCAAAGAGGGAAAAAGACAATAGTGGAAAAAAAAGAGCTGAAAGGAGACTGAGAGAGTTTCCGAATAAAAGTCTTCAAACAGTGTAAACATTTTCAGGATTAAAAACCATTCTGGAAATGCCGTCATGTTCCCCGACTGGACACACTTAACCATTTGTCTTGCCACAACTTCACCACAGTAGCAAACCCTCATACTTAAAAAAACCGTGCCGACACAGAAACCAGTCTGGACTCGCTGCAGAGTCTCTGCCCTCCCCTCACAAGTACAGGTTTGGAGATCAGTGTGAAGTGAAGTGAGAGGTTAAAGAGAAAAAAGAGAAGCCGGAGTCCCCGCAGGCTCTGTGTGATGAAGACAAACAGCTGACAGACTCCACTGCATCAGCTGGATTCCCGCTCCTCTCCTCGTCTCTCCTCCTCTCTCCGTGTTTGTTTTGCAGCTGGTTGCTGAGGCAGCAACAACCTTGGGTTGCGTCACTTTCTGCAATAGTATACAAGCAGAATAATAGCGTTTTCATGTGCTTTTATGTAAATACAGTCAGTGACATTCTGTGTCGCAGCAGGAAATATTTTAGGGATAGTTTCCATCCAAGCTGAAGTAACAAATCCATTAATTTCTCCCTGTTTGTCTCTTCTTGTCGTAGCTCTCTATTGTGCTTCTCCAATCCTCTCAAAGTTGTAAGATCTGTCCTCAGGTTGCAGGAGAGATCCCTAAGGGGGTGCCAAGGGTCAGCGTCCTGTCTGAAACCAGAGAGGCTTCTCTGTGTGTTACAAGGTGAGAAACAGAGTCAAAAGGGCCTGGACAGATCATCTCAGGTTTCGGGTCTTAACTGGATTTTGCAATTGCAGAATGTAAACAGGATCTAAGCTACTGTTTGCTGATGTTGATACTTCAGGTTGGCGTATTTTTTTTTTTTTTAATCTGTTGGTTGATTAGCAATTTCAGAAACAATCATCTATCGTCTTCTATAGCTCTGGGAAGCTATAGCTCTCAGCCAGCTGTTGCAAAAACCCAACTCCCAGCCAAGACAAGTTTTGGACCTCTTCCATTATAGTGCCCATTCATTTCAAATCTTTTTTTTTTATGATTTACTTTTGCCAAAATAACACTATCATGATAAAGTTTGTAAAAAGTCAAGCTTTGCCAGGTTCGTTGTTAAAAGGAGAAGAAACAACATTTTGATCCATTCCAAAGAGATGGAAAATGTGTCTCTGGTTGGTTCTGTGACACAGTTTAGTGGTGATGCGGTGACATTTTTGATGTAGAAAGTTTTTTTTCAATATCCCTGTGATCCTGGATTAATAAACTATCATCACATCATCATTTATGGAAGGTGGGATGTCATTACACCTGTGTGCATTCTGCCTGCTTTTGCTCTCCAGGGTTTTGTGCAAATATGAAGGTTAAACTAACAGACCAATGATTCCCAGAGTCATGGGGAAAGTCCTCTCTGTTATATTTCCATCAGCCTCTTTGTTCCCCAACAATCCATTATTCCTCATGACCGTTTTGACTGAATCATATGTGATTTTTCTGCTAAATGTACATCTTACCTTACCCCACATCAGCTTTCAGTTAAATCAACACTTCCATGTGGTCCTCTGTTCAAGCACAAGAAATAGCATGATTTATGCTAAAAGCTGTATTTAACCTTAATTGCCATAATTGGTATTTTTCAATTGCACAGGGCTAGAAATTACAGTGCTCTGTTTCAACATATTAGAATCGTATGATATTATGAGGCCAACACATGGCGAAGATTAGAGGCTGATGTAAAAATACTGTTGCATTGGTTTCATTTATAGTGTGTTTACTCTCATTCTCATAAATATTATGACTAATTGACCCATTGTATTTCTACAAGGGAGGGGACCAGCCTATGTGTTTTTAAATGCCACCTTTAGGTATGAATAAAGGAGCTGGCTGAGGCTGGCGCTAACATTAGCCTCTTAACTGGCTTGACAGGGACAGTAGCCCTCAGGGTGGAATAGAGCATGTCTAATTTAATTACATAAATAAGTGCTAATGGAGCCGGCAGGGGAGGCTCTGCACAGACTGTGAACACAATCAATGGGGAAAATGTCAGCGACATACCTGTGATTCTTTTCATTTGCAAGTAAGATGATGAAACTTTGTCAAATTCAAGACAGTAAACACTTTTTCTTTGAGGACGTGTCGGACAGCTTCCATGTAAACCTTTTGGTCCTTTTAACAAGCTTGCAAGATAATGTGGAGCCTCTACCTGTGTACCTGCTCATGTCTCCCTCCTGGTCCTTTATGACTCTGTTTAAGTGTGTGTGTGTGTGTGTCCATAAAACGTCTGTCTCCATGCAAGAGTCTGCACAACGCTCCTGCACAAACATCACTGTGTCTGTCTGTTGGTAGATGCACAGACAGGAGACAAAGTATGTTGAGAAAGTAGAAGTGCTGATGGTAGTGGAGGAGCAAGAGGAGAAGGAGGAGGAGGAGGTGGGGAGGAGGAGACGAGCTTCAGCCTGCAAGCCCCAGACGGGCTGGCTCCGGAGGGGCTGCACCCAGGCACAGAGCTGCCTTTGTCAGGGTAATTATCCTGACGCTCACCCTCCGCTGGAGGAGCTACCGGTTGGTCGGGCGGCTAACACACTAGCGCCACCTTTCATCACTTTGGGGAAAGTTGTCAGTAAAGGAATTTAACATTTAATTATTTATGAACTTGAATTGTGCTCAAGTTTGGAGGTTCATGCAGGAGAAAGCAAAAGCATTGTGCATATCCCTGCTGAGGATCAACCCATGAAGTCCTTTAAGTGCATCTTGCCGTTTTAGTTTTTGACACGCTCTCTCCTGAATGCTGCTCTGCTCATGCCTCTGAAATGAAGTCTTCTTGTCTCAGTCCCTGTGACGCTGCCTGTCTGTCCTGCCTTGATAGAATCTCCCAGCTTTCAGCAGCCGCTCGGGCCCCAGCCAGCCTGCAGGAGGGACAGCCAGACAAGAAGGACCAGTGGAGAGAGAGGGGAAGAGATAGCCCAGGTACCTGCCAGCCCTCCTTTCTCTCTCTCCCTCTCTATTTCTTTCTGTGTTAATGTCTTAGTAAGAACCTTAAGAGGATCCAGAAACAGTTTAACTAAGGAGGGCCGGCCCTGGCTTGCCTAATGGTTTCTGTTAAGTGTACATGGTGTTTGAGGCAGGATGGCAGCGGGCCAGCAGGTTTGAGACAGCAGGGAACTCCACCAGTTTGACAATGTCATGTCATTTTTAAGAAGTTTTCTACACTTGGCTGTCATATATTTTCAACTTTTTTGTGTCCTGACAGTTTTACTTTCATCTCAGACTCCCTCACTTAAAGCTGGAAACGACATTTGCATACGAAGGGACATGAGTCATCTGGCATGTTGCCATGAAGAGGATTTTCTTGTAGATGTCGTGTCTTTGGTTTGGTGCTCCTGTACACAGTATGGGACTTTTAAACAGACAGTTGAAGTTTAGAGTCGTGGCAATCAATCCAGACCAAAGGCAGCGGGTATATCACACTTCACTGCGCTCTGTCTGATAATTGCTGTTTTAGTTTCCTGTTTATGAGAATTTACTTACAAACTCTACCAGGGTCAGGTTGCTGTCAGGGTATCTTATTCACAGCATGGATACACAATATATTTTGGCATGAAATCGCTAGAATATTGTCCAAAAGGGAGTGCATCAAGTATGTGCATGTGACCTTGATTGCATAGCATAAAAAGTGAAAAAACCTGCATATCAGATATATATCCAAGACTGTGTATCCATAATTTTCTTTCTCTTCTTTTCTGTTATGCTCAAACCAAAGCTTACCTCAGTGACAGCCAACATAGATGCTGTTTGTTTCAGATCAAATTAGTCTCTCAGCTTCTATCGAGTGTCACTATTTTAAATTAATTCATTTTGACTCCTCTGAAAATGTGGACAGTCAACTTTTAACAAGAAATTCACCTGCAGGGTTCTTTGTAAAAAAACTAAAAAAGAAAAACTAAAAAAAAAAAAACATTTTTGAAGTTGAAGTTTTGAAGTTTCATTTTCCTTGAGAGTGAATGCAAAAAGTATTTGATGTCACCTGAACTAACTCTAAACTTATGAGCCACGGCAGCATTAAATGAATCGATGAAATAGACATGGATCTGGCTCTGCAAAACCAGCAGAAAAAGCCGCTCAAATCTGAGACTGCAGTCTGGACTGTATCAGTAAAAAGCATTTTTAATAACCCGTCATCACTCAAGGTATCAGTGGATCTCGCAATGACAGCTGTGATCATTTGTCACCTGGTTTACTTAAAACAAATATGTGCAAAATCTAAAATTCAGTGTTTTAACTACTTATGTTCAAAACTTAAAGACTAAGTTTGTCTTACATGATATATAAACATCCACGGTGAGCCTGAGAGCCTCAATACTGAGGCTGTGTGTGTGTGGTACACTTTAGTTTATAAAATAAGCTCTTCTGTCAGGCTCAGGTTTGAACAAAGTGTGAGAGCAGGTCTCACTCTACTCTGGCCTTAGACCTCCACAGACCTGCACGAACGGTGGCAGAGCTCAGAGTTTGGATGCCGGGCTCAATCTGACCACAGGCTCCACAGCAGTAGCTGCTCATTAAAGCGCTGCTCCGTGATTGGGGACTCAGATTTGAAGCTCTGCAGCAGGGGAGCGTCACACATGCCTCCCAACCACGCTGGTAAGGAAGGTTTCCAGTCCTCATGTATTGCACACGCACGCAAACACATGAGGAAAAGCACTCAAACATGCTCCTGCATACTTTATGTATGTTCACCCTGCAAGAATGCATACTGTCTCGTCTGTAGTTGAGTCATAAAACTGAGCGAATAGACCAAGAGGACTCAACATCAACTGATGACTTCACTCTCTCTTTTACCCGGAAACATGATCCTTTCAAAGCAGAGTTTAATATTGGATTTTTACCCAAAAGAAAACATTAATAACAACCCAGCTCTGCTCGGCCAAACTAAAGGGCTTAGGAGAATTTGCATAAAAGACCTCATATTTGTTTTGAATCCATTGAGATGTGTCAGCAGCTCTCTCTTTTTGACGCAGAGGAGCAGCACAACACGGAAAAATCATCAAATCTGCCTCCCTCATCCATTTTTTACTCAGCTCTCTCACCACAAGACTGGCAGCCCTGGCCACAGACTCCGAGCAGAAACCAGCCTCATGATTTCTTTATTTTTTTCATGACTTTGACACTTTTATCATCCCGCTCTCTCATATATTTATCAGCGGTTACAGCATTCTGCCAATTAGTGTTTTACAGTCAGCACAGGAAATTGAATTACACGCTCAGTTTGCCCAGCATTATTTAGCTCAGCATTATGCAGGCCTGAGAAGAGCGGTGTTAGCCAGCTCATAACCTGCATGTGGAAACGACCCCCATTACACAAACTCATGCACATACACAAACACACGCACATTCTGCAGTATCCCTGTCTCCTATTCCCCAACTTCTCATTGTGTAAAAATCTCTTTACTACTTTTACAGGAAACTGCCTGTTCTTTTGGGTAATATTTTCCTTTATTACTTGTGTAGTTTATTTTTCCTGATGCAACTTCAGTAATTGAACTGTGCTCATTATTTACAGTGAAATTTAAGAGTTTGGTTTATCTAAGTACAAAACACGTAAATTAACACTATGCAGCATGCCATATCTACCATGTATAATTTACCGACATTGTCATCAGTGCTCTACTTATGATTGAATGAGCAATATAATAGATAAGAGCATGTTTCATGGATTAGGTACATTGTAATTTGCATTATCCCCTTTTTACCAACCATTATTGTTGTGCAAAATACATCATTTACTGTATAATATACATTATCTATAATGCCAAACTCATACTAACCATGCAACATTATTCACAGTGCAATAAAAACAATATGCTGGGCAAAATATACCATGCACTATGCAATATGCATCAATTAAAAGGGCAATTTACATGATCAGAGTGCAGCACACAATATAGATATTGCATCATGCCACATCGACCATGCAATATAAATTACTTATTGTGTAACACACATTATCTGACATGCAAGGTTCTTAAGTTACTATGCAAAGATGTATTTTGGCAATAGAATTAACCTTTCAAATAAATTATCTGTACACATTAAAAATGCCACGATGTATTGTTCAGTGAGCATTACTAAAGAAAATTAAATTATCTCAGAGCAATGTACATTATCTGCATTTGATTATGACACATCTACCATGCAATGTGAATTACTTACTATGTATTATATTCATGATTATTATCTTTCATCATTATTATCTATATTATCTGCCATGTCAGATACATAATTTACTGTGAAAAACACATTCTTCTAGTTATATGATTATTAACTGTTTACCATGTCATATACCACTGTGCAGTATGCATTATAAATAGTGTAATTCTTTTTCCTGGTGCAGTATTTACTTTTTATTATGCAACATCTATAATGCAATATATATTATTTACTGTGTTGTATACGTTAATAATAGTTTCAAGAACATATTTACCATGTAACATGAATTAATGCAGTGCGATAACCATTATTTACCGAGCAATATACATTATATATATACTTTTTTGGGCAATGTATACCACACACTGTTCAATATGTATAATAAACAGTAGAATCAACCTGTTCTTTGTGAAGTACACACTATTGACTTTCCATTAGGCCATGTCTACCACACAAAATCTTGGCCTACTTATTTACAATACCATGTTTATTATCTGGTATTAAGTATGGATTATTGACAATATACTTAAATGCATGTTTCCCCTGTGGATGCCTTAGTGTCATACACTGAAGGGTAAGTGTTTTTGATTTGTTTGTGTGTAAAATAATGTGTTAAAATGATTTTATACACAAAAACTATTGCACATCTATCATCTTATGGAGACTGTGTTATTACTCTGCTGTCCAGATTTTTTTCTTTTATTGTTTTCCGTTGCCGTTTTAGACTTTGTTACTTGCTCCTGAACTTTTTTTTATCCCCTTTCACGTTTCAGTACCACATCTTCCTATAAACCCACAGCAAACTAACATTAACCCCACCCTCTTCCTCCTCTCCACTCCTCCTTTCCTCTCCTTTCCTCTCCTCCTGTCTTCTCTCAGTGCAGGTGGTCAGTCTCCTCCGGGTGCCGGTCTGCTACCTAAGGCTGAGTTGATTAGGCTCGCTGAATAGCTCGTTTGGTCGTTACAAAAACCAAGAAGTCAGAGTAAATGGTGGAGAGGGCAGTTGATGGTAATGACCGAGCCATCAATGATTGAGTCCATTCACGGCTGAAGTGGCTGGAGTGGGGGGCTCTGCAGTCACTCCCCTCAGTCACTTTCTGCCGGCACACGGGGCACAGTGTGCACTGCTCTCATTACCATCTATTGTCTGGACCTTTTCAAACGGCTGTAAGGAGAGTGGCAAAGAGAGGAAAGGGAGGAAAAAAGAGAGAGATTAAATAATGGCCTTGCTGGTGGTATGGATTGGCTGATGGTGAAGTGAGAGGAACTGGCCCCTTCTGGTGTTTAGTGTATGTAGGTGGCAGAGTTTCAGCAAGATGATCGAGATCCGAGATGACGTGTTGAAAAAGAGGGAACAAAGAGCGCTAAAACCTCTTTATCAGGCACAAGATTTTATTGGATCACTGCTTCAGGATGCTTATTACGAATCATCTCATTTGTTTAGGGCTCATTTTAAACTTGTGCTCTGCCATATTTAGAATCAAACACTTCTCTGAAAATGAAGCGGCACACAAGCTCAAACATCCGTCTTCCCATGCAGGCCTGCTGACAGCCTCTCTGGTGACCCCAGGCAGATGTGAGTGAGACTAGGCTACAGGTGGCAGACCAGGAGCTTGAAGGGCTGTTTCTGGAAGATTCTCAGAGACTGCAGGCATCGTAAAGTAGAGGTAGAGTCACCTTGAACTGTCTTATTCACGATATTTGAATAACTTGAATAAACACTTCAATATTGATTGTCCACCTTTTGCAGTTTAGCAGCATTTATTACTCATGAATCTCTGCAGCACTGCCTAGATATCAACTTTAGAGGACAGTAAGTCATATACAAAACTGGTATATACTAACATTCTGACCCCACCAGTGCTGTACGTCTTTGCTCATCATGTGCAGACAAACTGACTTTGGTGTCTCTCGCTTGTGATTCTTCTGGAAAGTTGGTATGTTTTTCTGATTGATACTGTGAATGTGCAACTCTAGACCAAGTTAGGATCGCAGTGAGAAGGCTCACCCACCAGCTACCTCCATTCACTACATGCTGTTCAATTACTTCTTCATAATTTGGACTCTTGTACATAGGTCAGGTTGGGCCACTCTAAGGCTTCCTGCAGGTCACATTTGGTCCTGGCACTGCTGATTGAAAAGCTTGGACAGAAGTGATTGTCAAGCTGTGAAGTCTGCATGTGGTTCTTTGTAAAAATAAAAAACATGATAAAAAATTTTAAAGCTACTGAAAAACATTTTTAGCTGATTTCCAAACATTCTGATATTCCTCAAAAATGAGCTTCGAAAGCAAACCCGACCATCAGCAGTAAGAGCGGTCATTTCAATTAAGTTTTTTTGTCTGTTAATGTTGCCACAGGGTAGGTGTCAAATGTTGAACCAGCCTTTCCTTAACATTTTTGATGACAGACATTGACTATAGAGACAGTAGGATGTTTTGTTTTGTTTCTTTTTAAAGCACCTGTGAGGAGTTTTTTAAAGTGGCAACCCAAGAGAGCAAATCAGCTGAGGTCAAGTCAAAACAGTTCAAAGAGTTTTCCTTGCTGTCTTAACTCAGTTGAAAAAAAAAAAAGATTGAAATCAGGCATTAAAGCTCCTGTTGCCTACATGAAATAGACTGAAATTCATGTACCGGTAATAACTTTTGTATGATGTACAAATCAAACAAAACCACCAGCAACTAGATTGATCATTTTAATATTGTTATTTCTGATGCCTGAAACTGAAGCGAGGGGGTAGGTGTCAGCCAAGGAGCTGAAGAAACAGCCCAGCTTTTACATTTTTCAGATTAAATATTACAAAATTGATGCATTGGGCTGTAAAAGTTTGATTTTTTTTTTGTTAGAAGACACTACTCAAGCATATATAGGATAAGACTGCTTTGCTCCCAAGGGGTTCTAAATTTACTCAAACCTTAACTTCCTCACAGGTGCTTTAACTACGAAATGTTGGGGACAAGATCAGCACAGAGTTATGGTGTATTGTCCTCTCAACGAGGAGCACTAAAATCAACTCCAAATCAAACCTTCTTGCAGGAAAAATAAGTTTGAAAATAAACTTTGTAATGACTTTTGCTGCTTACTTATAGTTAGTTAAGGACCTTCTTTTTGGGATTCATGGGGAACTGTCTTAGAAATATGAAAAGAATAAGAACATTTTGTTCATTCAAAGGACAAGTTTCAGAGCCAGTTAATCCAGCTACAAAGTACCATCTCCTTCTGGGTCAACAAGGTAAATCCAGTCTACAGTAACTGCTCTTGTGAGTCCTTTTCAAAATGCCACAGGAAAATGCAACAATTTCCTCAGTTTTGAGTTTCTCAGCTCAGTGATCAGAGCGGGAGGCAGGGATTGAACTTGTACAGGTACTTTCACCACTTCTGGATTGTAAAAAGCTAATTTCCCCCTGAAAACAGCCACTTTAAGGAATGATTTCTGCCTTTTCTGAAGTTTCCCTTTTACATACAGATCTTATCTGATATATTTTTGTGGGACTTTCTTTTAAATATCTTAATAAGATAAATGTGTAAGAGTTAAAACTGTAGATTTTCATGATCTCTAAAGTTTTTTTCATTATGTGATTTTATTGTGTGGCTCTTACCTCTCAATGTTTTCCTCCTTTATTTGACTCTTTCTGTGCCTCTGGCTTCCCCCTGTGTGTGTGTGTGTGTGTGTGTGTGTGTGTGTGTGTGTGTGTGTGTGTGTGTGTGAGTCTCTCTCCCTCCATCTCTCCACACCACAGAAAGCCTGCTGGCTCGGAGCCCACCCCCAAGTCTCGGATCAGCCTGCCGGCGCCCAACCCGACCACATCGGAGGCTTCAGGTTGGCTGTGGCCACGTTCGCTGGCATAGAGAACGAGTTTGGACTCCATCTCCCACGCTACACTGTGGTGACAGCAGCAGAAGAGGAGGAGGAGGAGGAGGAGGAGGCTGCCCCCTTCACTGAGAGCTCCCCTGAACCTCCTCGGGTGAGGAATAAGAGAAAAGAGTTGTTTCCACTAAGTCACTGCTGATATATGACACTTTTAAAAAAATTATATTCCATTTTTTATAAATTATATTTTAATCAAGATCAGCTTTTTTTTTAAGGGTGTCCCTTTTTGTCTTCACACAATCAGACTGAGGTGAAATGGTATACATTTTTTAGGGGAATAGAGGAGATAACAGGAAGAAAACAAAGAATCCTATCTGTCGAGGGAGGTCATACAGAGCCATAGAGGAGAACCAGTTTAAGCTAGAGTTCATTTCAGACAGGTTAGACTGTACGCTCTGCCTCCCCCTACATCCCCTAGAGAGGATAGAGGAAACAGAGCATATACAAATGGAGTTATCAAAGTCCCGTTATTAGCAGTGATGTTAAAGAATACAGACATCATGGCTTTGAGGCTGTTCAAATATTTTCCATTGCAACTGTTTGCCGGTGAGTATTTCTGCACTTCTGTTATTACCTCCGCCAAGGAGGTTATGTTTTCTGTAGCGTTGGTTTGTTTGTTTGTTTGTCTGTTGGCAACTTTACAGAGAAAGTAACCGACGGATTGACCTGAAATTTTCACCAGAGGTGCGTCTCAGCCCAAGGAGGATTCCGTTAAATTTTGGTGGTGATCCGGACAAAATTCTGGGGACTGTGATCCAGAACACACAAAAATAAGGGTGTCGTTGGAATTTTCAATGCTGAAAGATAAGGAATGGGCGGCACAGTGGTGTAGATAGGTGGCACAGTGGTGTAGTGGTTGGCACTGTCGCCTCACAACCAGAAGGTCCTGGGTTTGAATCCTTTTCTAGTTGGGTTTTATGATTTGCAGAGTGAAGATCATTTGCTGTCAATCAAATTAGCTGTGCCTTTCATAATGCAAAACCTTCATGTCGTCAAAACTAATGATATATATATAAAATTTGCCCTATATTTGCCCTTTACTTTTTTGCCCGCTATTTCGTTATCGCGCAGTGGTGGCTCTGCGACACCAAAAGTATTCAAATAGACCTTGTAGTATAACAATATGCTAATTTTATTATGAACATGTGTTTCGAATATAATCCTACAAAAAAGGTTGGTTTTTAGAAGGTTTAAATACTGTAGGTGCGTGTGTGGTTTGTGTGCTTTTGTAGCCAGCCTCTAGTGGACACCAGAAGAACTGCAGACTCACAGTGTCCTTTTAAATATACAATCTGTGGTCGGGAGGACTGTGCATTTGCTGTTGCAGCTCCAAAACTATAGAAGATGGTTTTTGAATCTCTTCTTAACCTCCAACCTCTTCTCCTCTGCCTTGATTTTACCCATGTTATATGCCTTTTAGATTATTTTATTGGTTTTATATGTAATTTTATGTTTCATGTAAGATGTTGTGTCTTTATTTCTGATACTTTTATTACCCTGGGCAGCACTTTGGTCCTCTGTGGATGTTTTAAAGTGCCCAACAACTGAATTTGGATTGGATTGTGGTTTGCAGAACATGTGAGATAGATTTTATCCTGCCCATGTGTACGATGTTCACAGTGAGTAAAATTAACTGTCATGTGAATGCTGGAAGTGAAAAAACAACACAAGAGTTAATGGGCTCTGCTTTAATAGTAATCACAGCAGGTTTGACAGCGAGCACTCTGCAGTACAATATACCTCTTGATAATCGTAACCGTTCATTAATAATAATATACAGTCATTGCTCCAAACAACAAAATACAAAGTGCCAATCCTTGATTCAGTTTCTGACAGCCTCGCGCACACACACACACACACACACACACACACACACACACACACACACACACACACACACACACACACACACACACACACACAGCAGCCACATGTGAAAACGTCACCATAACGACCACCTCTCATGTTTACGCATCTGTAATATTCCAGGAATGTGTTGCATGCAGGCATCATAGTACAGTGAAAAAAGCACAACATAAAGTGACCATGAGAGTTTGTAAACAATACATGACTAGTCTATGGACCCTGCTTCATTTCACAGTAGTGCAAAGCATCGTTACAGTACACAGAACTCCATAAGGCTATTAGACTGCCACTCTGTAAATACTGCAGGCTCACAGATTGCAAGCAACACATTGTTTAAAGTCAATAAACGAATAAAGTTGGACAAATCAGTCGAGATAAACAGTCAACTCGTTAACAGACAGTAAATGCATAAATACAATAAAAGCGCCGCCTCCTTTAGACATGATTACTGCACAGAAAAGTGAGGAAACCCAACCAAACTGAGTGATAGGCTCATGCTACAGTGACACCAATAAAAGCACACCAGGCGTCTGATTCAGTCCACTTTGGTTTGGAGTCCCGTTCTATGAAGCCAGCTCCATAGGCCCCTCCTCCTCGCCGTCCGCTCGGTTCGCGCGGATCTCCATCAGGGTGCGAGCGAAGCGCCCCCAGTCATCTGTGTGAGCCACTGACAGCTGAAGGAGTCATCAGAGAAACAGACAACATGACATTAAGGTGAGGTGAGTGCACGCACCTGTAAGTATCACCCTGTGTAAGATGTTGCTAGGCAACAGAGCTCCATAGATTTGTCACTGCTTGTTCCAAAAGTAAAGAGTCAGCAATTTAGCTTTTCTTTAAGAGTAATTTAACACCAATTTACAGAACTCATTTTAGCCAATGGAAAAAAAGGCTAAAACTCTGCTTTTACAATTACATCCTCACTTTAAAAAGGACATTAGATCCAAAATTCAGTCCAAAAAATATCCAAACTCTGAGACAGAAGGTCTGTTTATAATGATAGTGATGCCTTTTTATAACAGACAGAAGCAAACACAACCATTAGTGACAAGACTGATGATTTCATAACCTCATTTTTAGTGCCTGAATCTGCTTCTAGAAGGTCAGTGTCAGACAAAGTCCTGTGTTACTATTACTCACATTGAATAATCACAATAAATGATGCATTTGGCTGTAAAAAGTCAAAATGATGTGATTTCTGGGGGGGGGCAGAAGACATTACTTTAGTATATCCAGGTCAAGATAACCAAAGGATGCTTTGTTTGAGTGGGAAGGTAAAGTTGACACAAACAGAAAGTTCCTGACTGGAAAACTTGTGTTAAAAGTGTGTCAAAATCGTGACAAAAACCTCAAAAAAAATAATACAAAGTCGACTGTGAGACCTTATAAAGTCAAAGTTTGTCATCAAAAGTCAAGAACATGAGAGGAAAAGTCTGAACTCATCAATTTGTTTATAGTATTTGCTTACTTTATCCCAGAATGCTTTTTTGTTCCACAGTTCTGATTTATCATTAGGATCATTTAAAAAAACAACAATTATTGATATTCATACTGAAGTGAAATACATTCTTTTATGAAACTGAAGGGAAAAATACAGAGAAGTAACCTCAAATTACGATCATAAATAATGGGTATTATATACTCCAATCTATATTTTTCTTTGCTCATCTCTTTATAAGCTGACATTTTCTACTCATCTCTGAACAGAGAAACAAACTTATAGAATATTCTCATTTTTGGTTTAAAAACACAAAGTAGATTAAAGCTACTACCAAAGATGTCTTAACTTTGGCGCCCCCTGTGGACACAAAAAAATCATCCTGCTGATTCTTCAGTCAAATTGGTTCTTTACTTGAACATTTCTCAGCTCTGAGAAAAAGCCAAACAACTCCGGAGATGTTACCATTCAACCTCTGGAGACCGTGGGTGTGTTATGTAATGTGAATGTGGATGCCTGCCCGTATATTTCACTGATTTATCCTCTGGGAACAAAGACTACCTGCTGGTTATTTCATGACACTCCGTGAAATCATTGTTTGGATGTTTTTGTTCAGCCACTCTGCTCACAAATCTAAAAACGAGCGCGAGCTGCTCTGACAGTAAAGAGTTAATACAGGAAGTCATACTGAACGCTGTTCCTCCTTAAGTGTCGACCTCGAGTCGAGCGCTGTGGGAGTCAGAATGAGTGGGACAGAAGCCGCGGCCGCCACCCAAGCTGTCTGCAACCGCTTTGCATGGCCAGGCTGTAATTAAACAGGAACCAGGAGGAGGGAGGCAGCCATTTTGAACTCCCCCTTTAAACCCCCCACTGAGCTGTGCTGGCCACAGCAGGGGGGCTCAGCCAGAGGACTATGTATATGCTGCTCGGAGTGACTTAATGTTTGAATAAAATACAAGAAGCTCAAATGTCAGAATAACGCTGTGGGATTTTTGTCATCCTGCTTTTAAAGCAGTGGGTCTAAAACATTGAAAGTCCTGACCTCGAAAGACTTGTATGTCATAATTTGGACTTTTCAGCAACATCAATAACAGAAGAATCAAAACAGCTACAACCCCTGCGGATAAATGACACAGAGCTCATATGTACTAAGAAAAATATCACTAAAATTAATTTTTATTTGTGTTTTTCTTCCTGAAGCTGCTCCAGGCTCTTTATTATTCACATGCTGTTCCTCTTTTGGCCCTGTGAGGGGGAATTTCTCAAAAAGCATCCCCTCCACCGCACACATGTCCTTAAGGTTATAAAACCTTCAACCCTTTTATTGATGACTCTTCGTTACTGTCGACCCTGCGGGAGGCCACCGGCTCAGCTGAGCCTCTCTCCCACCGACCAGGCAGCAAAACGGTGCTAAAATTAGCCGAGTGGTGAGGCTAACGCGCCCTCACATGGGGATCCTAACCAGAGCCCTCTGAGCATGAGAGAACATACGAGGAGCAGGCAGGGCGGTTGGACGCTTTGTGGTGATGGCAGAGTGACACGCAGAGGGAGGGAGGAAAATCAAACATATACATTCATGGCGATGTTGACAGTTGAGTAAACACACAGAACTAAAAGACTTGAAATGATCAGTTGTGGGGCATGTGAAGGTTTTACTGTGAAAGAAATGCACTTTCCTGTAGAGTGTGCCATTCACCAAAGTCCATAGAGCAAAATAAACATCAGAGATAAAGCGTATACATGTTTTTGAAATCATGATTCAGCTCAAATTATATACATTATTCCTCTATATGGAGCAGGTCTTTCTTCCACATGACACAAAATCTGAAAACAGGACGGATTTATGGAACTGAACAGTGAGCAACGACGGTAACTCAGGCGCCAACTTCTCTTCATCTACTGTAGAGCAACTTAATAACAACGCAGCAATAAATCCTGGTTAGTGTCGCTCACTGGTGCTCTCAGCCCCTCAGGAGTAATTAAATCTTGATTGTCTAAAAATGAAACCAGTGTGAGACACCAGCTGCACACATTACAGCACCCTTGGTGAATCCAGCAACAATGCCCTCACCAATTTATTGTTTTTTTTTCTGGCACATCAGGCTGCCAAAATATCAGCATTATACCAGGCAATATTGATTAAAATGTCAAAGTTATTACTCTTTAATGATGAAAACAATACCTGAGAAATCAAGCCTTTACTTCTGAGTCCCCCCCAAAAAAAGGTTGTTTTGAGATGCACCATGTGTTTTTCATTTGTGCCAAGTGTATCATGTGATCAAACTGTATTAATAAGACATGGTTATGATCCTGTACCTCTCCAGTATCATAGATCCAGACTCGGCCTTCTGAGTCGCCCACAGCCACCTCCTTCCCTCCTGATGACCAGCGGACTCTGTTGAGGGCTGAAGCTCCTTCAATGGTCACGCTGGCCGCCGGTACCTGTTTAAACAAGAAAAACAAAATAAAGCGACAAAGATTATCCATGGTGGGTGTAAAAGGTCCTCATGTAAGTCACAGTAATCAGCAACAAAGACAAGAACATACACACATGTTCAGGGTGTGCAGGGACAAATATGAATGAAGGGAAATATCTATAAAAGCTGAGCGGCCTGTTGCACCAGCTTCGTGTAAGTTGGGACTGTCTTGAGGGTGTAAAGTCCACGAAAACAAGCATCAGTGAAATTTAAAGTCATATCTTTGTTAGATGGCACCAGGTTCAACATAAAGTAACAAACCATAATGTAACGGAAGGTGATGTGATATGACTCAACATATATACTTAGCACAATACTGTCACAAATGTAACGTTTACACTTCGGCATTTCCCTATGTAAATATTTGAGTGCTCCCTCTTAAGTCTGACTGGCTCTAAACTGACTAACAGCTGAAATTAAAAGCCATTAACTCCCACGACTCAATCAACAGTGATGTGAAGGTGAATAAAACATGACAAAGCATTATGATAGAGTAACATAGTGGGACCTGACATATCATTATATAAGTACGGTCATGTAATGTGGCATAGCAAGGTAAAAATACTGTTTCAGTACTAAATAAATATCAGGGTTTATTTTTGCAACATCATGTTTTTAATCTCTAAAGTAAACATGATTCTCCTATGACTGTTTCCCTGGGAAAATGACTTAGAAAATTAAAATCTTATAAAAAAAATCTTTTTTTTTTTTTTTTTAATGGACAAAAATTCAGCACACTAAATGAACATATTTAATCAGAGAAGCACAGCGTCTCAGCGCTCGGTCCTTCTTTCACCTTGAAGGTTTTTTAAAATTCTTTCTGCACAGCTGAAGAAAGTCATCAGTCACCCGGCTGTGCATCTCACCTGTATTCAACAAATTAAAAGTCATTAAATGTGCTGAGTTTTTCTTTCTGTTTGTTACACATTTGTGATGTTCCCGCACCTATGGAGGGTTTATTTTAGAGAGTGCTCCTGTTTTGCTTTAAGACCTATTTCTATTTGTTTATTGGCTCTAACTGCACTTAAAGCTTGTTTTAATGTTTGTTTTATCCGTGTAAATCAGGAGCATTCACCATTTAAATTCAATTTTTAAAGCAAACTTTTTCCAAACACTCATAAAGTTGGCCAAATATAGCACTTGAATTAATAGCTTTTGCTTTTAAAGTGGACAAACATGAGGCCATATAATAACTCAGTAAAATATCCCCTTGATGTTTTCTGCAGTGTTTGTTCTTTTAATTTTACTGTGCAGCACTTTGGTAAACTTGAATGTTTTTTAAAATGTGCTGTATAAACAAAGCGGATTGGATTGAAGTAAGTCCATGTTTGCTGTTGTAGCCGAGGCTCTTTTTAGTAAACAGCAGAGCTGGTGTTGCACCTTTTAAAAGAGCTTCAACCATCTGCAGTATTTCCATAAACTGTTCCTGACATGTGGCGAGCGAGTCTGACACATGTCACCAGTGGAGACAGAGGCCTTGGCATCATGTCCCCTCACACACCGAGCTGCCGCGTATTTAAAGCAGCGCTAACCACAGACTGACTGCCATTAGCCTGCTAGCTTCCCCTGATCCGCCCGAGTGGATCTGAACTGAGCGCTTTAAATTGGCTGTGTGTGTGTGTGAGTGTTTGTGTGTGTGTGTGTGTGTGCATGCAGAAAATGAGAACCAGGCACTGCACTGCTCAGTTAGTGTCGTTATGACTGTGTTTTTAATATGATGGTACAATGGAAGTCTGTTGCTATTAGCCTTAGTGTGCATGAGTGAATGTGTGTTGCATGTGTTTGTTACATCCGTTGTGTGTGTGGGAGTGTGTGTGTGTGTGTGAGTGTCTCGGAGCAAATGTTTCTCATAAAGCACATTGTTAGTCGAGTTAGGCCTTCCATAATGAACTCTTCCTCTGTCGCTGAAAAGGCTGCTGTTGAGGGAATCATGGGAAACTTGTCATCTGTGCTGCAGAGGGAAGAGGCTACTGATGGGATCAATGAAGGAGAGAGAGATGTGGTTAAAACGAGACGGGAAGAGACATGACAGCCGAGATGTAACTTCAAATCCTGGGAGATGAGATGTGAATATTTTAAGAACAGGCCTTTGAGGAAATGAGAAAGGAAGAAGAGCGAGTGAAAGAGCATTATGGGAAAAAGAGGACAGCATCTGACGCAGATGGGTATTAAGGTGGAAGGCACTGAGGGTGTTGTCTCCATGGAAACCAAGAGAGCAGGAGAATGAAAGATCCTTTTATCCCTACTTTTACCTGAGTGATCAAAGGTTTGGTACCAACAATCAAAGTTGTGAAAAAGTGAGGTTTTCAGACTTCAGACAGAAACTTTTTCTGCCTTAAAGGAAAAGTTCAGAGTAAAATTCGTCTTTGCAACAAACAACAAACAAGCTCCTGAGAGTTTCAAAGTTTGCACACTATATAAAGTGCTCTTGGGTGAGCTTTAAAGGGCTTGTTTTGTGTATTTTACACCAGCCAAGTTATTTCCACCTATCCTCATCATGCATGTTTGAGTTCGAGTGTTGACACTTTGGTTTTCATTTGTCATATGATGCTAAAAAACGAGGATGTGATGTCATGACAAATGCAGCTCTTGCAGCTTTCTGCTGAGTAGAAGAGAAACGGTCAGAGTGAATCTAAACAAGAGTTGAACTTTCTTTTCTTTTTAATGTCAGCTTAAAAAGAATCTGCTCTGGTTAAGTCTGTTTTCTAGGAAAGTTAAATGTGTGCATTTTTAAGCGGACCTGGTGTGATGTCAATCCTACAGCTCCATCAGCTAGATTACTTTTGTGCACTCCTTGGCTCCAAAATCCATCACCAGCAAAATGCCAGTGCCCACTGCGGTGACCTTATGGCTTCAGTGTTTTTTTTTTCTTGTGACATCACTCTGTGGGCATGAAACTCCTTTATTACTGTCATGTATAAACACAGTGTCCAAGCCATAGGTAGTATAAATCTTATAACCTTACAAACTGTGGTCATTTTAATGCTCTCTGATTGATGAACAGACACAAAGTGAATAGACGGTGAAATCAGGAGTGAGATCAGCTCATATTTTAAGTTAGAAAACACACTTTGCAGCCCATTCATTAAAATGAGAATGCAGCTAATGTTAGCATTTAGCCACCTCCTCTTTAAAGCTCCTGTACGTGGTTTTATGACATTTATGAAATAAACTGAAAATCCTATTGATGCGTTTTTATTGTTCTAAAAAAATAAAGAAGACATCAGCGGTAAGTTCGACAACTTTTGATTTTTAAACTACAGTTTTTATTTTACACACCTACAGTTTGTCAGATTATCAAGATTTACAAATTTTATGAGCCTGAACATGTGCCAATGTTTATGATCTATTGAATGATCCATTAAAAGAGATGGGAGAAGTCGTCCACATTTACATGAAGCCAATTGTTGCAAGAATCTTCTTCTTGAAAAGGCTGATAAAAGCTGTGATAAATACTTGAGAAAAACTGAATTTCTTTGATTCCACTGAGTGTCCACTCATTACATTTGATTTCATCCTTTCTACCTGATTTTTGAAGTTAAAGATAGATACTCCCTCGGTGGCCTCAGTTGCCCCCTTTAAAGAAATATTGCCCTAAAGCGCTGAAAATACATTCTCATTTTATTATTTTTATGTCCTGCCTTCAGCTGTGGACTGAGGTCTTCTGCACATGTGTGCACTTCGCTGATGGGACAGGGTGTGGGAGGCAGATGAGAGGAGGTGGCGGGGTCCTGAGGCTGCCTGAACGTTGGACAGAGGTTGCAGGAATGTTCGCGGGACGTCTGGGTGGGGAGATGTCACCAAGTGTGATTTAGAGCGAGGGCTGCGGGAAACGCCCACAGGGGAATCTTGGATTTTGTGTGCATGTGTGTGTTGGTGTACGGAGAGATGTGGAGGGGCTGGTGGTGGGAGGGAAAAAGTCTTGGGTGTTTGGTTGTGCGGTTCAGGGCTGAGACCCAACAACAGGCCCTGAGGACAGCAGACACACATGCACGTCAACACACAAAGAGATGACACTGAAAAACACCCACCATGACCTATTTGCTAGCACGCACGCACCTCTGTGTCATTGTTCAGGTTCCACAGGTCTAAGCGGCCCATGCCATCCACAGCAGCAAAGATCGCAGGGTGCACAGGCGACCACATGACGTCATAGACATAGTCTGCGTTGTCCTCGAACGAGTACAGAGGCTTGTTGTGCTGAAAGACAGAAAAAGAAGAGATCTATCACTAAGATGGGGAGAAAAAAAACAGAGAGAGAGAGAGAGAGAAAGAGAGTTGGGATTACAACAGATGACAGTCTAGAGATTGAAAGAAAAGAGAGAGAGAGACAGAGGAGGAATGGAGAGAGGGAGTGAGCGAGCTTCAGACAGAGTGGCGCTGCCTCAGCCTTGGGGCCTGTCTGGGTGCAGAGCCTAATTAAAAAGCCTCGCACATTCACACAGCGCCATAAAACCACTGGGAGAGATGAAAGGGAGGGCCCCTCCACAAGGTGTACTGTAACCTCAACACAACAGCTGTCTGAGAGACAGAGAGAGATGGGAAGAGATGGAGATGGGAGGAGAAGGAGGGGTGGCCAATGGACAGAGAGGAAGTGGCACTCAAAATAGAAGGTGTGAGTTTGAAGGTGCAGAGATACTTGGCTGTTTGACAGCCCCTCACAATATCAGTATGAGAGCATAGAGCTGATTATAGCAAGAATACATGAGCTTAAATCTGTCAACAGGGGCGAGAAGATTCCAGAAAAGTATGTTTGACATTTGAAAAATAAAGACAGCCTTCTCTCTCAATCTCTGTTTCTCTCATGTGGAAGTGTAAAAAATTGCAGTTCTTAAAGTGTCCACTAGAGGCAGGCACCAGCAACATTTGAATTAAACTGAGATAATAAAATATTGCCCAAAAATGTATCAGCTCTACAGACTGTATATAGAGTAGACGTCGTCTGCCTCCTCGCTGGATGAAGCCACCGCGAGAACAGCACCCTCTGGTGACAGGCAGCAGTATAGGTCATAAATCCCGCCCTCTTCCAGCAATCCTTATGGAGCTGTTAACAAACTTTAGAAATTTATTACACAGAATATAATTTTTTCTCCCCCCTGCTTGTGGTGTTGACATGTAGTTACTGTTGGACTGGTTTGTGCTCAAGTCCTCTTTTCTCTGTACAGCTCCGTTATTAGAGGGTTCATGTTTTCTATGGTTGACATTTGATACAGCCTATGGGCGTACGAAGATTGCGTAGCTCGCCTGGGGGGATATGCAGTTTGAGCCGAGTGTCATCACAGCGACTCTCCCACCCAATGCATACAACACTAGTGCGCAAGTGGTGGTTCCAGGAAGTGGAAAAAATCCAAGAAATATGGAGAGCAAATTGGCTTCAAATTCGTACAATGACGGAAGGCGGAGCCAAGTTGTCCATATTATATACAGTCTATGGTCAGCTCTCAAAACAACAGAATAAGGAAAGAACTCTAATAAAACTATTTGTTCTAATTATATCCAGATAAGAAGCTAATTTACAAAGTCAGTACACAGTACGCAAGACAGCGCCAACCAGGGTCTCCTCCATGCTGCTCCAGTGATATGCTGGAGTCTTACATAACCATAAGAGCTGCATATGCATGCTTTGTAACAGAGATCACTAAGGCTTAAAAGTTAGGTTAGTCCAACTACACAACTCTGTGATTCGTGCTCTGCAGCAGCACAAAACATGCTCAGGAGAACTCTCATTTAGTACCCTGATTTGATCCAGGATCTCTTGAGCAGTATTAGCTCACATGTGTCAAACAACATGGGGTCTGTTTAGGTCCACAAACAAAAGTGGGGCAGGCTTTTTTTGTACAAACTGTTGGTGGACTTGGTTACCTGTGTCTGTGGATTGTTTCCCTTAAGCGTCTTTGCATCAAGACAAGAACTTTCCCCCATAAATCCATTGTTCCATGAGGTGCAAAGATGGAAAGCTCTTTGCTTCTCTATAAACTGAAAACCTAACTTTCCATTCTTGGTATTCCGCCAAATGTTGCTGCTTCCCAATCACCCTTTCGCTTGTATTGTTCAACTAGTTGGCAGGTTGTTTATGGAAGCAGCTGCTGAATCTCCATCCTTTTTGAGTGGAGTCCTCATCCCCAAAGCCGATGAAGCTCCTGGACTGTAGATGAGCTGATAGCTGCGGTCCAGTTTAGCTCCAGTAATCTGTACGTCATTCTCATTCAGCTTTTTTGAAGAGAATCCAAAGTTATTAAAAACTGGATAACACATTTTCACACTCTGAGTTCACTGCATGTAAAAAAACTAAGAGTCCACTGCTCTCAGGCTATTTGACCGACATATATGTCATAGTTAGATAATGAACACCAGTCAAGTAACGTTAAAAATCATTTATTATATTATTTATTATTAATTATAATTAAAATAAAATTATTGGAACCAAATGTCCTGATAGGAAGCTTTGAAAGTAGGTGAAGAGGTTGATGTTGTCGTAATTCTGTGTGAGGGCTGGAGATTAACAGAAAACATGGTGGGTTAAATTCTGCGACTAAAATTCAAGTGTACGTTCCCTGATAGATGCAGCCCTTACACCCACAGACACCATGATCAACCAGTACGTATGTGTCCATGCAGCTGACGGCTACAGGCCATTGCAACTGAAGACGAAGGATGATAAAAGAAGTGTGGGCATATATTGTAGTTTATTTCAAATACCTGCGTGCGTGTGTGTGTGTGTGTGTGTGTGTGTGTGTGTGTGTGTGTGTGTATGTGTGTGTGTGGCTTAAGTGGCTGTTAGGATTCCACAGGCTTACAAACTGCATTCCTGACAGGTAGAGTGGGAGGGGAGGAGGAGAGGAGACAGGTTGGCTGGAGGAGCAAATGAAGGAATGTAGTCCTTTTTTCTCTCTCTCTCTCTCTCCTCCTCCTCCTCTCATTTCTTCTTTTTTCCTCCATCACTCTTACGCTCTCTCTCTCTCCACTCTTTCAATCCTTCTAAAAGGTAGACAGGCATCAGGTATACACATTCACACACACACACACACACACACACACACACACACACACACACACACACACACACACACACACACACACACACACTCACAAACAAACAGCCAAACCAATTTCAAGGCTCGATTGAACCTGTTTTCCAGCCTGCGGGTGACAGCAGAGGTCATTTAACTCCATCTCAAAGGTTCAGTGTTCGATCAGCTGAGTGATTCCTGTTTATCCTCTCTCTCTCGCTCTCTTGTTTTAAGTCCCTGTTTCATAACTTTAACACTCCTCCTTTCTCTTTTGAGCATTTCTCTGAACAAATACTACATTTAATCTTTGCCCCAAGACAATGCTCTCTTTTTTAAAATGTATTCTTGGTCTATCGGGCCTTTAGAGTTGAGAAGAATAAAACCCTGCCTGTGTCTACCCATCTTTCAAAATGCAAACTACTGTTTTACTGTAGTCTGACCTTAATCTACCGGTCCTAAATAAGGTAATTTTGGTGAATAATCTGCAGCAGCAAGTCTTAAAAGTAATCTGAAAATGGGGCTTAATCCTTGTGGCGCCACGCGTGGAGAAACTGTTTGTCATTATCTCTGTTGTGCTGAGGTGCTGTTGAGCTTTGAGCTGGTTTGAACCAGAGAGGCATCAGAAGAAAACAAGTAAAAACACAGAGCAACACCAGCTTAATTATTTAAAGCAGATTAGAAAATGAATGGATGAATGTAAGATAGAAAAATCTGTTAAAGCTGACTCCAGGCGTCTAAACATCATCTGTGTTTACCAATTAAGACCAACAATACAGAGCTGTCTGTGCAAAATAAAAGCATCAATCCTGATTATCTTCTTGGGAAAAAAAACAAAAAACTTCTCATGAAGCATCTTTTAAACTGTATAGAGTCGAGACAGGTAGATAGTAGCGAGCAGCCAAAAAGGGCCTGACTCTCATCCAGACAAAATACATTGATATGAGTTTTATATTTCCTCTTTAGGTGTAAATAAGCGGTGTGAAAATGTGATATGTGATAATCTATATCATGAATCCCCGTTGACAGCTGTCGTAGAACTAGTACTAGCTTAGCTGGGAAAACCTGTAGGGCTGTAAAGTCCTAGTCGCAGGTTGACTTATTGGTCGAAATATGCTGAGTCGACCAAAATTCTGATTGGTAAACTGGATTTTTTCCCGCATCAATTAACAGTCTATGGTAAGTCGATTTTTGGTCGAAAATTTCAGGGTTTTAGCCGACCAAAAATTTCTTTGGTTGATTACAGCCCTTAAAATCTGACTCTATGTACAGAGGCAGCAGTCCTCATCACTGGTCAGAGGAATAAGTTCTAGTCAAAAGTTGATTTGGTGAATGTTAATCCCCGCAAAACCCATTTCCTGTCTCTCCCAAGCTGTCCTTTCAAATTAAGGCAACCATCTCTAACGAAAAGAGTCTTTAAGAAAAACAGGTGGAACTAAACTTGTTATTCACAGGGGCCTTGAATCGGACTCTCAACTCATATAGATTATGTGGTTCCTTCCAGGCTGCATCTACAGAAATTCTAATTGATAAGTTCAAAGTTTTGGTCAAACAGCACATGTGTAATGCTTTGAACTTTTTTTTGCAGCAGAAGAATGAGAGTTAGAGCTCTGAGCTCATCATCCCTCCAGATTAATAATTAAACACCTTAAGTCTGAGGAGAGCTGAGGTAATATCTTTGTTATAAAGTTATTTCGCATCCCCTATTGTAAAAACGTGCTTTTATTTTGAAAATTAGTATGCGCTACTTCTGGCAGAACCCTCACCAACAGCAGCACAAACTCAGTGTTGTTTTTGGATTCACCATAAATCTTTAAACATCACTCATAAAAGAGTCTAATCACTTTGCTCCAGATAGTTTATTATCAGCTGCAGTTAGTGTTTCTCTATCCTCTCTCTGTTTCACCACAGTCCTATTTCAAACTGATCAAAAAAGGACAACGAAGTCATTCACTAAAGATCCTGTCCTCATTTGAACATGTCTGAAATGTTCACACTCGGTATCTTTGAGCAAACAGTGGCGCTAGCCTTAAAGAGGTGAAAGTGGATTGACTGCTCTCCTCCCCTCAGGTAGATCCTGATTCAAGGATCAAGGCCATGAGATGTTTCAAGTCGTAAATCCTCTCTCATCACAACGTCTTCACCCTCTGGCTGGCTCCGAATGTTTTCACCAACCACAATATTTGCACCGCTGAGTGTGAAAACATCAGCAGACCTCTGTACGGCGGCTTTTTTCAAACCCTGAAAGCAAACGTGTGTGTGAACGCAAAGAGAATTCACAGGGAATATACGTGTGTGTGTGTGTGTGGAAACAGTTTGGTTGAAGGCAAACCTCGAGGGGGTTTTAAATAAGCACAGGGCGCTTGCTCAAGGTGCCCGAGAGGTGTGAACACACACACCCGAACGTGCTCAGGTATCCCGCCTGCCCACACACACAAACATGGGTTATGTGGGATAAGAGACAGACACACATTCCTGTGGTGCCCCTCAAAGGAAAGGGAATTCCCAAATCCTGAAAAATAACACATTCGTCTGATGAAAATCCACAGAAATGTGTTTTAATATGTGTCACGGGAGTCTTCACCCAAGACTTATGGAGCGGCTGCATGCAAACATGGGCTAAAACTCATCAGACTGTTTTACAGCCTGTAGCAGCCGAGTATGAAAACTGAAACTGGATCCTGCATAAATCTGGAGGATTATGCAATATGCATTATGTATTTTCTTCATATTGGAAGGTTGGTCTTTGAATTCTGGCTGTGTTTGCTGTTCAACGCCCTGCTCATGTTCGTCTTTGTCCTTCAGCTTCAGCACCACCTCTCCCACCGACCATGCTTTTGTGTTTCTCTTCTTTTAGTTTCATCAGCTGAGCTGCTTCCTCCTCAGACTTTAGTCTCTTTCACCTCACCTCCCTTTTTCCTTCCTCAATTCAGCTCCACTCTAAAAATTTCACAATCAAAGGTCTTTAATCCACTTTGATCTGACTTTCTTTTCTCATGCAGCGCCACAAACATACCTGAGAATAACTCCATTATCTGTCGGCGCCGCTCTGAGAACGTTTCTTTGAATGTATTAGCTAACTTCTCTTTTCTCCCACGCCCACTTTGGCAGAAAAAGCCACTGTACGCTTTTTCCCCCCGCCACTGAAATGCCGGAAAATGGAATTCATCACGTCGGTTTGAAAGGAGAACAAAAGCCTGGAGTGGACGGGGTCACTTAAAAATCAGTGAGGAGGAGGAGGAGGAGCGCTTGCCTTCACAGTGTGTCTGAGTAACTCAGCAAGTCAAACCTACTGAGACTGTATGGTGTTTAAGGTTTAATGAAGAGCTGCCATTATGAGAAAGTGCTCTGATTCAAAGTTTTCCATCGCTTATTCATCAGACTCACAACCCATCAGGGATTATTCTTCATCCTTTAGTGACATTTATTTGTGAGGCAGATGTTCCCTGAGCTTTGACCGACAGGAATAATCATTAGTATCTCTTAGTGAGGGGAGCACACAGCATACCTGGCAGATTAAAGCTCCTGTAGGGACTTCTGAGTACAAAATGATGATATCTGCATGATGCGCACATTTTAGCCAGATAAAATCAGTGATTTCTATGTTTCTAAAGTTGTTTGATTTAGAGTGTTAGGATGTTACATTAACTCCTTTAATACCTGCATGTACGGAGACTGAAGATGCTCCAGATCAGACAAATTAAACCCCTCTTAGAAATCTTATTTGAGGCCCTATGAGGGTTTTTCGAGCAAGAAGAAAGAATCCTCTATTTATGATAAATGTTACATTTGACTGTCAAAAGTTGGCAGGATGAGATTTTGTTGACAATCACTACTCAAGCATGTAGATGGCGAGCCAAGCAAAGACTGCTTTTGTCCACAGGAGGCATCAAAACTAGAAGTTTCTTACTAGAGCTTTATAGACCAATTAGAAACATGTATCAAGAGATTCACCGAAAATGGGGATCAATTTTACGGCATGTTAGTGTTGCAAGGAAACATTTGGTATCCACATTATGGCTACTTTGACTAAAGTTGAAACATTATGAAAATATTTGACTTTTACAGGACAATGTAAATACTGTATCCTTTGAAATCCTGATTGTTGCATCCAAATTTCACCAGGACAGATATAATGAATTAGACACAGACAGGACTTTTTCATTGTCTTTCTTTCAAAAGGCCTGTCTGCACAGTGCAATGTTAAGTTTGCTGCTATTGTCTTTCAGGTGTATTCTGATATTTAAATGACGATAACTCAACTCTGTGCAGTAAAATGCATTATCGAGTTGGAGTAACACACTGATAGGTGCAGTGTGTCCATCAGCTCAGCAGCACCTGTGATACCAATATGTATGGATACCAAAAAAAAAACAGGGTTCTTGATACCCATTTGAATCAGCCACACTGCCAAACATGAGAAAACTGGTTTTCCAAGAAGCTGCTCACCTACAGCACTCAGCCGTCTCTCTCATTTACAGTTTCTCCACAATCAGCCCCCCACACACCTTCTCCTTCTCTCACACCATACCTTAGTGCTCCAGAGTTTGACGGTCCAGTCGAAAGAGGAGGTGATGAAGAGGTGGGAGAAGTCGACGGTGCCTACAGCGCTGTGGCAGCTGATGCCGGTTACCGGTCCCTGGTGGCCCTCGAACATCTCACAGATGCCGGCCTTACTAAGAGGACAAGACACAGGTAGGATAAAGAGCGGTCCACTTGGCCTTGTAAGTGTTTTAGTTATCTAAACTCGCAATTATTTTGCTATGATGTTGATAGAAATACTCAAAAGTGACTGAGCACAGATTTGCGCACTTACCTGCCATGTCTGGATGCGGTGTACACAGTGCCCTCCTCACTACCCACCACATAGTTGTTAACGTCCCCAGTGGGGAAGGCCATGCCTGTCACCGCCACAGGTTTGGATTTGTTGTACGCTAACTCCATAGTCTCCTATATGCACACAAACGCGCACACGTCATTCATGTTGCACTAACATGTTGACTGCAGAGGATGCAGGTTGTATGGCGCTGTTGGAGACGAGTGAACCGTGTACCTGAGGCTGTGAAAGCATGTCCAAACTCCAGGAGCACATTCTGCCGTCTGTGGACACAGTGATCAGGTTGTTGGCGTTCTGGGTGCCGACCACGTTCACGCAGTACACTGGGTGCTGAGAATACAAAGGTAGAGAGATAAAGCCACATGTGGTCGAAAGAACTCAACTTTTCTCTTTACATTTGGTGTCATGTAACATATACTACACACAAAAGGCTGCTGAAAATAAAAACTGGATGTCCTTGAATTGATAACATTCAAGATGATAATAAAACACATGACATCATCAGATCCTTTATGAACCAGCAGCTCACAAACAGCTCTCATGGCACCATGCGGTTGGACATGCGCTGCTGTGCTAACCAAGGGCGGTGTGTGAAAGCATTATGTCATTACTGGGCAGTAATTGATTTGTGTACCCGGCAGCACAAAGAATCTATTCAGTAATCAGCAGCGTGCTCGCCGGCTGGAGAGGATGAGAACGGCGGCCTCGTTATTGGAGTTTGAACCTACAGCGTGGATGGTGTGTGTGTGTGTGTGCGTGTGTGTGTGTGTGTGCTTCTGCAGCCCCTCTGAGGCTGTGGTCAAAAGTGGCCCCCTGGTCTGAAGATATTACTGTGAGTACATTGGTCAGTAATTACTGGGTCTGTGAGTTCACAAGTGTGTCTGAACTAAGCGGTCTAAATCTGACCTGACTTCTCGTCTCAAGAGTGTGTGCTATGATTGTGTCTTAATTATGACACGCTAATGATAACATGGAGGACATTTGTCAACAGCCTATGCACCCCTGAGGAGCAAAGGGCTTAAGTAAGAAAAGTAAGTAAGTAATGATTAAATCTTCTTTTTTAATATTCTTACTAAAAGCAAAGTGCAGAAAAATAATGATTAAAACAACAAACAAAGAGTTTATTATTATTTAAAATTGAGCTTTGATTTCTTTTTATTTTAAGTTTTATTTTTCTGCTCTTTGGTCTTAATTCAGAGAGAATGCCTTGCCTTATACTCGCCTTTCAAACTTCAGTCCCCTTGGTCTTAGGTTTTGCAGTTGGGTACCTGTGTTGGCTGGGTAATCATGAATCTGGGCGATAAACCGAAAATTTAACAATACCGAAATTTACGACAATAAGCGACATCAGTTTGCCCATGTCAAGATATTCGGTGTAAAAAAAAAAAAAAAAAATTAAAAATTAAAAATTAAATGGTTTTCGATGTGTGTAGGTAGGCTATGGTCTCATATCCCTTTAAGACACTGTCCTATGTCAGAGACGTGACTCCACCTCATCCAGTTCGTAACACAGAGGGAAAGACAGGTGAGGAGATGGAGGACGGTTCAAAGGTTGTAGCTGCTAAAGTAGACGAAGTTGTGGGAGGGGGTGAGCAGCTTGTGAAGTAGTTATCGTGGTTATTGGAGTGAACTGATCAATATATCGTTATATTGATTTGAGGCCATATCGCCCAGCCCTGGGCTCTTATGATGTCTTTGTTTTAGTGACGTCTCAGTTCTTGCAATGTCATGTGATATTTATCAACGCTTGTATGACTTTCACAAGTTTATATTGTTATTGCTAATAATTCCTCAGTAGTGACGTTGTTTTGTTGAACATGCAGTCTGGGTTTTGTTCTTGTTTAGGTTCTCTTGTTGTTGTTTTTATCTTGCTGCTTTGTTTTGCTGCACGTCAAAACACTTTGTAATCCTTGTTTTTAAAAGTACAGTAGAAATAAGGTTATAATAATTGTTACTATTGATACTGTTGAAACAAATGTGTTACAGCTGGTGTCATAAGCGCCCTAGGCTATGCAGACCCAAACCATTTTCTGAACCAGGCTTTAACCTGTTTATTTTGGCTCTAAAAATTGGCTGTTTTTTAAAGTGGTGTGTAAGTGCAGACTCAAGAGGTACTCAAGAAACTGCAGTTTTTAGCACCTCTGCACTAGCTTTAATTCTGAGGGTTGCCACTTGGATGTGGCGCATAGCAACAGAAAACGTGAACAGACAACAAGCTCAAATTTATCAACCCCTGCTTTATATCCCAGTTTTACTGCACTGAAACTGTGTGTGTCAATCATAACAGGTGTGACCGTACAGTGTGTGCAGCTGCAGACAGAGGGGTCCTCTGGACCGGGGTTCGGCGATGACTGCGGTTATCCCACAAGACGATCTGTCCGGAGTAAGTCCCGCCCACCACCAGGTTAGGATGAAACCTGGCAAAGCCCACGGACACCACAGGGGACTGAAGGGAAAAAGGAGAAAAAGAAGAGAGAAGAAAAGAGGATGAGAAAGTGGAGTTTTACATTTGATTCAGGTGTGGGGTTTTTAATGGGTTTCTAAGAGAGATTTATCATCATGAACCAACAGAGCGAGGAAGAGCATCAGAATGGTTTCTCCTGATGAAATGTGGAGATAAAATAGCAGACAGTGAGAAAAGAGCAAAAACAAAGAGAGATGTGGAGCACAAACGTTAACGCTAGACCGAGCGTGAGTGGGAACGAGTGATCAAGGCGGCATGATGGGTGGCAGACATGAGGAGATAGACAGGGAGAGGGGAGATGATGAGTTTGGTTACGGGAGGGTCCACCGAGGAGAGGAGAGAGGGGTGACGCTGGGGCGGAGACCAGACAAAGAGGGGAATTGTAGTCCTCTTTCCACCAGCCGTTTCACATTACAGCATCAAAACCCCAGCAGCCACTGGAGCGCTCACTATAGCCTCCATCATGACAAGCGCACCCTTGAACTCCCTCCCTCCCCAATGCCATGTTTATTGAGTTTTGGTTCCTCTTCAGTGCTCGTTCCGTATGGGCGTCTGTGTGCAGCAGCTAGCCTTCCCTGACCCACAGCCACCGAAGCATCTGTGCTGTGGAGCTGTGAGAGAATGCTTCAGGAGGGTTACATGGTGCCATATATCCATCCATCCACCATCCATCCATCTAGTCTAGCAGCAAAATCATGAATTACATGTATGACAGGGCCAAGAGCGCGTTAAACAAGAAGCTCACAGACAGGCATCACAATTAGAAACAGCTAAACTGTAAAAACATGCGGGGTGCATTTTGCAAAAGCATTGTTGCCCAATAGGGTTGTAGATTTTCTCGGAGGAACCACTGGTGACAGTTTTAGAGTTCCTAAAAAACAGTCCGCCAGTTCTGACACAAAACAAGTCTTTATGTATTAGAGTCTTAAAAATACCCATAAAATCTGGGATCAAAGTTTGTAGGGGGGCACCCAGAGGGAAAACTGTGTTTCTGCGTAAAGACTTCCATTGTGTTCAGCAACATGCAGTTTCTATGTAGATGTCCTCCTTTCTCAAGTTATCAGCAGCAGCTCTCCATACAGCGGTTGAACATGCTGAGGTTGATTGAGCAACGAATGAGAATAAATACCAACCAACTGTGAAAAAAACTGAAGTTGAGCGACACTAAAATAATCTAAAATTAACCTTAAATGGGTGAAGACCACGAACTATCTTGACAATCTAAAAAAAGATGATTTTTATTGGAACTTTTAGAGGCTCTGGCTTCAGTGCGTTGTGCTGACAGTAGATATGCTAGTACCAGGCAGAAACAATGAGTGTCTCCCCATTAATCAATAAAATTACCAATATCAGACTACTCACAGATTTCTAATAATTAGTAAACCCTTTTCATCACCCACAAGCTAATGCTCTCTCTCTGTCCCTGCGTAAACCAGACCATGTGTGTGGCAACCGACTCGAAAATCTCTGCTCACTTTAAATGGAGGCAAATAACAAATCACAGGGAAAGACTGGAGCACTCTCTCTTCCTCTGATTTGTTTTGGGAGTAACTTTAGATGTCCAGATTTGAAATATACTTTACTGCAGTGGTTCAAAAACATCAGTTAAAGACATTACAAGCAAGACTTAAAAGCAGACTACAAGCGAAATTACAAGGGCTGTAGCATTGTTTTTAATTTGTTTCAATGATTTACAGCATATTACTGTTACCCATAAGAGTAGTAAAGTCCAAAAAACAATGAAGGGAAACAGTTGATTTCATCACACTGATACTGACACACACACGCGAACGGGTCTGCCTTCAACCTGACCGCGTTTACTATCACAGAGCTTCAGGGATGACCTTTACACTCTGTGGTTGTCTGATGAGCTGCTGTTTGAGGTCTGCTTCCCATTCATCAGACTCCACAACATCCTGCCTCTGTGATCTCTCTGCTCCAACACAGACGTCCACCAAATGGGATGAAAGTCGGGATTAATCAAGCCTCCGAAAGGTTGGAAACTAAATGGGGTCAAGTAACTGAAAGGCAAAGTAAAAGCCAACTTTTACTGTACATGAGAGACAATATTTAGGTAAAAATAGGTTTGACATTCAGGGAAGTATGCTTGTTTTTATTCTTGCTAGCTACTACTCTGGAACGTCTATTAGATAAATTATGGTAAAATTGACTTTAAAAAGGTTTAAAATCTCTCCCTTTTTAAAAGTATGATAGTGTTATTAATCTTCCATTCAAACTTTGGAAATAAGTGGCTCAAAAATTTAAGCTTTTTCTTAAACTCCTTATTTTCTTTCTCTGCGGGACTTTGAGACTAGAAAGAAAGACTGCTATAAAAGTGCCATTTCCCATTTGAAGCGTATAATATCTAATATATTGGAGCAGAGAGCAGGGAGCACAACCATAAATTTGTTCAAATGTTCCCTTTAAACTCAAAACAGAAGCTCTTATTGTTTCTATCATCCCATTAGAGACCAATATATGATCCGTTTTTTACTTCTAACACCATCAAAGATTAAAAACAACCTCACAATCCACAATCATAACACCGAGAGCAATAGGAAACATCCCTCCTCTCCCCTCTCTTGTCATTTTTCCTCCAGTTATCACCCTGAGTAAACATCTCTCCCCCACATCAGTAATGACAAAGAGAAGCTAAATCAAACCAAGAGCTGCCTCTATTCGCTCCATATGTTAGTTTAACTCCTAAGCCCTATCAGTGTCCCCATCTAAAGAGGAAAAGTCCTGACTAAACTCTGAATAGCCTCCTTGAGAAACCACAGGTTATGCCATCATCCCTCTAATGTACTGTCAGGCTTAGTGAAAGAGCTACTGAAAATTAGCCCGACTTTGTCCCCATAATGCACTCGGAGGCGCCTGCCAGCAGCGACTTGGATTTAGCATGAAAGCAGCCCTCCATAAATGCCTCCAATCAAACGTCACATTGGCTCATATGTTTTGGAGTCATATGCCTTTTAAATGTACCGTATGTCATTCAGTGCTGAAATAAAAATCAATCGGTCCCGCGCCATAAGGAAGTTTATGATTTAAACTCAAAGGGAATTGCTTGACACTCAAAAGCAGATTTTCAAATTGGATGTCATGTTTAAAATTAATGACTGAGATTAGAGTTGAATTATGGAGGCCTTGATGATGTTTGGGCTGTATTTCTGGAGCCTTTCTGTCAACTTTTTATTCATGCACAAGCCTGTGCCATCAAGACTAAAACACTTATCCATCTGATAAAGATTTATTCCAGTGTGTAAACATGACTGTGTAACATATTTATGGTATAAAACTTTAACTCTCAATCAAAGACGAAGTTGTAGCATTTTTGCATCTGACTTGTAAAATATAGATTACACACTGTAGATGAAAGCTGTAGATCTGAAACTACTTCTGATATCAGCAGGCTAACTCGCTTAAAAAGTAGACCGATATTTTAGGTTCTTTTCTGTCTGGCAGCATTTAACAGTCCTGGCAGTTTCAAGCGTAAAAAAATATTGTTTAGTACGCACAAATATGGAGTTTCGTGTCCAAAGCTCAGCAGGGCGCAACTCCACAGGGTGGAAGAAAAAAAAACAGACTCATCGGAGTCTTCTTCAGCACTACATGACTTTATTATTCTTTCTTTTATTAGGTTTAGTCTCAGTTTTACTCCGTAACCATAAATCTCTCATTGACCACTTCTGCAAACATAAACAGAGACACAGTAATACCAATCCAGCCTCTTCTGGCTTCCCAAAACACTCAAAATGGGGCAGTCTGAAACCAGCTGGTGTCTTCTCTTGGTTGTGTATAAAGAAAGCCAACAAGCACTAACATCTTATGCAGAACACTTACTTTGAAAACACAACTCTATTTGACTCAAATATCTGAATGGTGGAGAAAAAGGTAAATAACAGAATCATTCAGTGAGGTGAAAGCAGCTGTTTGCAATCCACTGGTATCAGTCCCAAAATAAATGTGTATGCCTGGATTCACGGTTCAGGATCTAACTCCTAAATCCAGTTTATACAGGTGTCCTCTTGTGTACACAATTAACAGCATGTTATATTTCCCATCGAAATCACCAGTGTGGTTAAATTTTAGTCTTTTCGAAGCTGTGAGACACGAAACAGCTGATCAGTGATGTCATGAAGAAGAACAGGCTTGTGTCAAATGCCAGAATAGTGCAAATACAGACAGGCTTTGTGTCAGTTAAGAGCTGCAAAACTAAAATAGAGCATCCGTTAATAATACTTTGGTTGCACTATAAGCTAACTGATGACATACATTTCATGTTTTTCAATTTCAAAGTTTGACCCATGTCTTATCCATAGACTGTATAAAGAATCGACACCGTCTATCTCCTCGCTGGGTGAAGCCACCGCGAGAACAGCACCCTCTCGTGACTGGCTGCAGTATAGGTCATAAATCCCGCCTCCTCCAGCAATCCCTATGGAGCTGAAGAAATTAGTTCCACAGAATATAAATTTTTCTCCCACCTGGTTGTGATGTTGACATGTAGTTACTGTGAAACTACTTTGTGCTCAAGTCCTCTTTTTTCTGTGCAGCTCAATTTTTAAAAGTTATTAGGGGGTTCATGTTTTCTATGATTGACACTTGATACAGCCTATGGGTGTACAAAGATTGTTAAAGCAGAGCGTCATCACAGCAACTCTCCTGCTGACCTGCACAGCGCTACTGCGCAAGCGGTGATTCCAGGAAGTGGAGAAAATCCAGGAAATACTGAGAGCAATTCAGCTTCAACTTTGTACAATGACAGAAGGCGGAGCCAAGTTGTCCATCGAATGTACAGTCTATGGTCTTATCTGGTAACATGGTCATGGCTGGCAGTAGTAAGAGAGCTACATATGTTGTGGTTTCTCTCGTTTTCATTTTTGTTTTTTGAGGGGGTCCATTGTGTCTCCTTGAACCGCTTTGTGGTATCGGTCTCAAGATCTAATTGTTGCTAACAGGCAAATGAGCATTTTTCTACCAAACTTCGACACATTCCTCCAAACCACTGCAGATCCTCTTCATTTCAGATTTATAAGTCGGAGCATACCACTCGTAAAAGCACCACATCTGTCCAAATACCACCGTAATCATTCTCGTGCCGACGACACTCCTGCTATTATTGCATTTCCCTATCAGGACTCTGACTGGATACCAAGTATGACATTTCATTTCCAAACCCAGAGCGGCTCTGTGAATGGTTCCCATCTCACATGCAGCGCAGGTCAGACACCTGCCAAGTCATCTCCTGCCGGCCCAGACCGAGAGGATGTGTGGATTGACAGCTCCCGGAAGAAAAAGCAGCGGAGAGAGTCACGGCTATGTATTGAACACGAAATAAAATGTGGACGTTTTGGAGGGAGAGCGTCTCACAGTCAGAACACTGGGTTTCATTTCTGCTCCAAAGCCTGGCCTGAGTGAGTGGATGTGTGTATGTGTGTGAGTGTGTGTGCGAGAGAAACTCATACTCACAAAGTATTATCTACTATATCTCACACAGGCTCAAAGGCTAAGTGCTTCTGGCAGCTCTTATTATATTAATGGGAAGTGTTCTGTAGAGGATAATACACACATGGTAGGCTGTGATGAAAGATGGCACCCAGCGAGGGATTAGAGAGGTTCAGAGGAGTGACAGGGAGAGAAAGAAAGCAAGAGGGAGGCAAACACTCCCTCCTTTGTTGCCTCCTCCTTACTCGAACTCTTTCCTCAGGCAACAAACTGTTGCTTAAGTCGGCTTGGGAAGGCAGAATTGGAGCTGGAGTGGTATGGTGAGAAGAAGAAGGGGGGGCAGAGGGCTGATAGGGGCACAGCAGACAGAAAATCTTCCCAAGTAGATCCGCGATCCATCCCTCCTCTCCTACTGCCAACCCCCCTTCCCCTCCTCGCTCACCGCACTCATCTGTTTTCCACTCTGTCTTATCAGGACCAGATGAATCTGACTGTCTTCCCTTGCATCCCCGCTTCTCAACCTCCCTCCCCTCCTCCCCTCAACCACCTTTCTCCTCCCTTTCTCCCCCTGGCTTTGCTCGTTTATGACACCCCACGGATTTTGTCACTCTGTGGTTGCTGGCAGAGAGAGAGAAATACCAAGCCGAGTCTCCATTTCACCAGGCAAAGAATGAGGGTTTGAGGGAGCGGAGGCATGAGGAGGAACACAAACAGGCCTTTCTCTGCCTCCTACAGCTCCTTTTTCTTTATTTTCCATATCTTGTTTGTTTGCTTGGCTCATATATTCCCTTTTTTTCTGGTTTGCGGCTTTAATATTGGGTTTGTGTTGTGAGTTCTTGTCGCCTCAACTGTACAGTACTCTTTTGTATACTCTTCTGATATTGAAAGTTAGGATATAGAAAATAAGAGCTTCAGCATGTTTTTTCAAACTCATTTGTATCTGTCGTATTTTAAAGTATTGTTTTTTTCACAGTCACTAAACAGAGGTATGAAAAAGATTGTTGAAGAAGAAATAAACGACATGAAATTACATTAAATGTAGGGCTAAAGCAAGAGCAGAGATTCAGCACTGAAAACAAATTAACTTATTACTTATCTTTGTCAAAACTCAATTTATTTACCCTTTTGGACATAACTACAGATTGAAACTTTTAACCGACTACATTCAGTGAAAATTAGAATGTTAGTTTGTATTATAACTTGTTTTTAAAACCTAAGCAGCCTGATACAGTCCTACGTTTGATAGCTAGTAGCCACAGATGCTGCTGGTCAGTATATAACAACAATATCATGAAAATATAAACTAGGAAGCATTTGCAAAGCATCTTTCCATGTTTCAGCAGCTGCTGTAAAAACAAGGTCACAAGCAAAACTGAAACATCGTTCAGTCTCAAACATCATGATCCTGTCGAGATTTTCTGAAACCTGAGCCCACAGATGAAATATGGATACTCAGATCCACCCCCCAAAAAAGTTAATTTGATGATGTTAAACCCGAATTTTGATCAATTCCACAATGGCTCCAATGTGGAACGGCAGCAATTTTTTCGCTGTCCGCCAATTCCTACCGGATGCGAGGTCAATTTCATGGTGGATTTCGGACAGCGGGAATCGTGAGAATTCACAAGGAGTCGCAGATTGACATGCAATCGCGTGATAACGAGTTGTCTCTACAAAGACAGCTACATAACCATATAAGCAGTAGATTGTGTCCTTCCAGAGGAGGAAATCCACTTCTAGATTTCTAGAATCGGCATCCCCTCATCCATGGTGTCACCAGGGTGAAATAGTGAAATGCTGTCTGAAAACCTTTCACTTGTTCGTCCCCGCCCGTTTGCATGGTATGAAATACGATCCGCCTGAAACACTTAGTGTTTTATTTTGAAAAGAAGCAGAACGTTTTATTTGTGTCTGTGCCTGACTTCCTTTCCAGCATAGGCGAATCTGTGCTGAATTTATATGGTATGCTGCGGCGTCCGGAAAGAAAAGAACCCTGGCGATCGGCTGCGGAGTCTGCTGACCTGCAGCAGAACAGAAAGAGGCTGGTGGAAATTGACAAATTATCTTAAATGGAAATGATCAGCTGCATCGGCACATATAGCCTTTTTGCCGCTGTTCCGGATGCGGTGGAAACTGGTGCTAACAGTTTCATATCAGTTGTTCGCCAGCTTTTGTGAATGAATGAGGGGGAAAAAAAGCTTCCATCACCAAAATGCGGGTATTTTTGATATGTTTGTCCATAAACAAGTCTGCAGAGTTCACCCCTATAAAGTTACATCTTAATAACAATAGACTATAAGTTTCTGCAGCAGTAAGCATTGTGTTCTCAGTCTAGTTTGGGTCCTGGCAACATGTTTAGTCCACTCAGTCAAAGACGCTTATTCAGGAAGGAAAGCAAGTACGTAAGAGAAGACACTGAACCTGGATGACCCTTCTCAGCAGAGCCACTGTGATTGGCTTGTTAGTTTCTAACCTGATTGGTTTGATTGATGGATCTGCAATAATCGAGCTCTACAGCCCTGCTCTCTCTATCTAAGTTTCTGTTTCCTCCTCCCTCTGCTCTCCTCTCCTGCTTTTCTTACTCAAACTTTCTGGAAGCCCCAAAGGCCCGGGGACCAAAGCGAGGCAGCAAGATATTAATAAAAATATGACTGAAACCGATGGGATATGACAGTAGCGGCGGGGGTTGTTACAGGGAGACGTGCGGTTTGAGGGGTTCAGCAGAGGTTTCCAGTCAAACAGGCTCTTTAATGTGGTGTGACTTTGCCCACTTGAGAGGCCGGTGTGAAGTTACAAGATTGGACCCAACTGGGATGGGGTGATGATGGGTCCAACTGCTAGGACGGGGCGTGATGAGGCAAGGCACGCTCAACTGGTGCTCGAACTTACAGCAGCAGACACTTAACAGAAGTACAAATCCGAGCGACAGTCTAGTGGATCGCACACTTACTCCGCTGTACAACAGATCCTCGACACTGAAACACCAATGTGTTAATGGATAACAAACTATAAGTATATAAGGTATTATGATCACTGCTTATCATACTTCGTACCAGCTCTCAGACTGATTATTACAACAACTTAAAGATGCCTTTATCAAGCTTCTGTAAAAGATCTGGGCTCTTATAAAGTGCTACCAATGTTTCTTTTTAAGCCATTTATTATTATCATTATTATTATTATTATTATTTATTTATTTATTTATTTATTTATTTATTTATTTATTTTAGTAGTAGTAGTAACTACATGGGCAATTTTGTACTGCCAAACTACTGCTAAAACTTTAAACATAATCCTTTACTTTATATGAGCCAGACAAGAATCTTTTTTCAAAATAAGAAACAATTTAGAATGCAATCCAGGCCACAATATTACTCTAAAATCTTTAGATAACCAAGTGAAAATCAAACAAATAAACAAACAAACAAATAAATAAATAAAAGCTCAACAAATGAGAAAAGAAGAGCTGGATGAAGGTGGAACATTTCATGCACAACTGCCACGTTCGTTTGCTCCTCAGGGGAACAATATCTGTCAAAGCGGGACCTGTCTGACGATATTGCGTGTGAATGCAATCTTACAACACCGCTGCGTATTGCCAAAAAATGCTAGTGCACAATTCCCTGACTGTGCTTGCCTAACGTCACACATGGAGAATCCTCCCAAAATGAAAACAACACGAGCTTCTCCATTTTCTACCTTTTCCAACACACTGTTATGATAAACATGAACTCCTTTAATGCAGCAGCCCAGTTCAGAAAAGCAAAGCGGTAACTTTGAAGACATTGTGGAGTGCCTCATGTCTGTATTCAAATAGTACACCATTTGACTTATCTGTAAGTTTATCAAAATTCTTGATCGATAAGATACACACGATTAGACTGGAAACAAAGAGTGCATTCTAACCCGTTTCTTTAGATTTAACCCTTTTTAAAAATGACAAGTTTCTCGACCAATCCCTCAAACACCACACCACCAGATGAGAAATATAGACGCTTGACCTGACCAAAACCCCATCTGAAATATGAAGCCTTCCATAAGCCAGTGCCTTATACAATAAAACTCCTGCTGAAGCAGACCTTAACCACAAACCCCAACCCTCCAATACCGACTGAGCACTGTCATTCTTCTGTATCCTCCCCACACACGCGCCACAGCCTTACACGTACTGTATGCATGATACCTATTTAATATGAGGGTGCTCATAGCTAGTGCTCAGCAGCAACTTCTCTGTCCACAAGGAAGTGCAGAGCTACCTGCAGCAGCAGAAGCTCCAAAATGAGTGTGAATATGTGCGTATTAGATGAGTAAACTGTGAGTACAGATGAACGGATGGAGCGTATGCAGCACAGCTAGGCAGGTGGGAGGAGGTGAGGAGGGTAGGAAAATAGGAAAAGTAAAGAAAGTGAGGGGAAGAGGCTCCCAGTCCTGTGGTTTGGGGGGGTTAAATGTCAGAACATGCTCACACATTAAAAACCATCTGATCTTCCTCTAACTACTGGGATGCCACTGTTTGTAGAGGACTCTGCTGCAAAAAAGAAAATCAAGAAAAGTCTCTCTGCTCCTCTCCCGACTTGTCCTGAAATCCTTTTATCTAAATCCAAGAGTAACAAGAGAAGTCATGGTTGATTCAAAATGACTCGCAGCTTTCTCCCTGCTACATTCATTCTATCCCTGATCATCCTCCGCTCCTTATACCCCAGATTCACTTCTTAGCCTCCTCTCATCTGCTCCCCGCTCTATCTGTCTCCTCTTTTCTGTCATTCACTTTTCTCTCTCTCCTCTCATGAAAGGACCATGGCACAGCCCCAGGCCACACTGACTAACATGGGTGGGGGTGAGGAAAGTGAGGGCACTTTGGGGGGGTTTCTGTTCACTCTCAGTCTCTCTTCTGTCTCTTCTCCATCTGAGATCACTTCATCTGATGCACATCATTCCAGTAAACACTCATGAAGGTAATTCTCTGCATGTGAACAAGCAGACCGGGTTTGAGAAAGTCGGTGAAAGTATTACAACGCTTCATTGGTGCAGCATGAGAACGATCTGTTTTTTAATGCAAACAGGCGCCAATTTGAGTGACCGCATTTCCACTCGAGTGGCTCGGCTCACTTCTGTTATACCCATTTAACAGCGGTCATCCCATTTGATAAACGAGGCATTTTATCAGCTGCTTTTACAAATATCTTTGTTCCCAAATGTCATAAATACAACTGTGAACTCAGATCAGCGTGCTCAGAAACCACGCTGTTAATAAAGTCCGATGTACTGCACATATTTCTCAAGAGAAGCGCATGGAAAAAAAAGGATCCTACAGCTACAAGATGCATAGCTGTAATCTGTCTGTAAAACCACATGCATTTCAGCAGCAGCATAAATTAGGGTGCAGTGAAAGAATAGAGTGCTTTAAAGATCCATTATTGCGTGGCAGGTTTCATGTCAAAATTTGTGTTTCAGAAAAGAACATCAAAAGAAGTTCTCATTTCCACGTTTGAAGCTATGATCACTAGGGGTGGGAGAAAAAATCCATACAGAATAACATTGCGATATTTTGTCTGGTGATATATCGTATTGTCTCATTTACCAAGTATCGATTTTTCAAATTAATTGCTAATATGAAGTCGAATCTATGATAATGGAAAAATAAAACCAACTGTTTGTCCAGTGAGGTTAGCAGAGGTGATCATCGAGCAGGAAAAAGTTCTTATGTTTAAGGTTCGCAAGATGTGCTACATGAAAATAAAATACTCTGTACATAAGACAAACATAAAGGAAAAACAAATGCTTAAATTGCTTAACAGCTGAAAATTTTGTATAAATCATAGTTCCTTCAAAATCGCAAAAAATATCAAATCGTGGCCCAAGTATCGTGATAATATCATATCGTGGGAACACTAGTGATTCCCACCCCTCAAGATCACTGCACCTGAATTTATATCTCGCATTGTTTTGCCTTTGACATGACTGCGATTACATGTGTTGTTCCACACGCACAGTGACGACTGTAAGACTTGTCAAAGATTTAGAAGCACTAGAAGCACTTCTGACATCAGATGCAGCATCACTGTGGGTGGGCGAACACACACATGTGGCAGTGTCGGATTAGGAAGTGGTAGGCCACATCATATTACTACCAAGACGTCTCTGTATGGCCTCGCCTGTCTCGAGGGAGCCGTGAAGCCCTCACACCCAATCCCTCTTTCCCCCTCTCCCTTCTCTCTCTTCCTCCCTCAGACGTTTTCTCAATGACACTTTCCATTAGCATCACAGCCCTCCATGGGTTTCTTTCCCACAAAAACCTGAAGATTCTTGCATTTAAATCAGCCGACAGTGGCAGAGCTCAGCTGTAATCCAACTAGAGGGTCAAGTGAAGGCATGTGGAGCCGCCTTTCATTCCTCTGACATTTGCTCTTTTGATTTTTGAAGTCAGTTTACGGTACGAAAAAGGAACAAGCTGTTTGTGGATGGCTGGACCAACAATTAGGGTACTGGAGTGGTCTGACAGATACAGATTTGTGTTATTTGAGATGTTTTCATATTTTAAAACCAGCAAGATCAACACAAAAGAGGGGGACAGAACTCTTAATTTCTTCGCAACAGTAACCTGAAATACTGAAACCAACATCTTTATTTAAAGTTGTGAGAATTTGTAAAGTTACCTGACAGTGGAAGATGTACTCTGGTGTGGCCTTCTTAAATTTCATATTCCATACCAGGGCAACTCCATCTGGTTCATGTGGAGCATCTTCATTGTTGTTATAGGAGGCAACCAGCAACTCAGGATACTGACAGAGAAAGAAGGGAAAGAAGGAAAAATGGGAGAGAGTTAAAAACAAATAGCATTACAACAACAAGAGGAAGCAGCTGATTCCAAACAATATTTAACAACAACAACAACAACATTTAAAACAGCAATGCTAACTATCTATGTAAAGAACTTGGAAAAGTGAAAGCAGGACAGACCCATCTTTGTATTTTCAAACACACGCACGCACACACGAACGCACGCACACACACACACACACAAAGCTGCAGGGCTCACCTGAGGGGACCAGTCAAGGCAGGTGATCACACGATGTTTGGACCAGTGTTCATCGTAGAAGAGTCTGCTGAAGGAGAGGCTGGAGCCGCTCCCCAGGTCTCTGGAAGGTTATGGTGGAAACAGAGATCAGTGGTCAGTTTGTGAGCAGACACTAATATGACAGAAGTGTCATAGCTGCACAGCAGGGACTTGACAACTTCAAAAAATATGTGCTGTGATGAAGAAGAGCTAATGAGCTGCATGGGACAGTGATCAGGAAGGGAGCTCTTCACTGTCTGTGTATCATATTAAAGTGTTGTTTTGTGCCATATTGTATGACATCTTAATGAACTTTATTATCACTAATCATGGTGTCCTATCATATCTTATCATATTGTATCGTATTACATCACTATTACAATATTACATCTCATAGTGTCATGTAATATTGTATAGTATAATACTGCATTGTACTGTCTTATATTGTATTGTAATGTGTTGCGTGGTATCATGTCACATTGTATAACACTTCACTGCATCATACAGAGTCATATTGTACCATATTGTACTATATCATATTGTATCCTAACATATCTAATCAGGGTGCCTCCTGGGCGCCTGGCTGGTGAGGTGTTTAGGGATGTCCTGTTGGTAGGAGACCATAGGAAAAACCCAGGACATGCTGGAGAGACTGTGTCTCTCAGCTTAGGGTCCCCTTGGAAGAGCTGAACTAAGTGGCCAGAGAGAGGGGGAAGTCTGGGCTTCCCTGCCTAGGCTGCTGCCCTCGCAACCCAACTCTGGATAAGCGGTAAGTGTTCTTCATTGCACCTCAATGTACCATTAATATTACATTGTACCACCCTGTATTGTATCCTGTAGTGTCACACTAAATTGCATTGTTAAGTGTCACATCATGTCCTATCATATTGTTTGGATCATGTCATATATTGTTTTACAGCATACATAACAAGATGAAGTCAAAACAACCGAAGAACACGTTGAGCGCAAATGTTTTAAAATCTTTCCTCTGACAAATGTGGACATACACCAAGGATTTGGAGGTAAACATCAGATTGTCATCCATGTTTTTGAGATGTGTTTGCCACTCAGCCTCCACCAGCAGCCACCGGATGATTCAGCATAATGAATCATATTGAAGGAATTTGGTGAGAAAGCCTTTTGACAGTCTGTTCACCCTGATGAATCAGCCTTTTCTGCCAACATGTTGCCTGTGGTCAGAGTAGATCCTGAACAGATTGTCGGCTACTTCAGAAAGCTGTCTAGCCACAGTTTGCCGACCGGCAGACTCCTTTGTGAGTGTTAATTACAACAAGTATGTGTGCTAATAAGTACAACACAATGCTTACTGTATGAAAAGTAATGGAGCAGGATAGGATTCCCTGAAAGGCAGGGAAGGAAAGGACTGATATAAAGCTTTTGGCCTTGGCCTCTTTTAGACATAATCCCTGATTGACCACAGACTCAAAGCTCCTCTGAACTGAAGGAGGCTGGTATGAGCAGCATTCTTCTATAATAACAGAGCGGTATATGTAAGTGACTTTGCACTTAGGACTCTTAAACATGCTGATAACCCTCATTTGGAGGCTTCACCTCTGATTGAAAGGCATCTCTTGGTGATCTCTTTGTTCGGTTTGGCTTCCTCTCGATTATTTGGTAAGGAAGAAGAACTTGATTTAGGAATGGACCATGTTAAAAAGTGTAAAAAATCAGCATGATCTCTGATGGCTTTACAAGAATGGCTGACATCTGGATTCACACTGATTTTTATGTTGTTCCTTTGCTCTGAGTGGAGATGGAGAAGTTGTGGTAGGAAACTCAAAACGTAATGTCCTCTTTTATGATGCCGGGTCAAAGGAGGTTAAAAAATGAGGACTGTTGGTTCACTTGAGTTTTTCAACCCCAGAGTGTGTGACATCAACAGGAAGACATGTATTTTGAAGAACAAAGGAGCCCCTAGAGTGACACAGTGGGCATGAGTCAGTACATTTCTTAGTTTGAGGCATTCAAGTAAACACTCACATGTGCTCTCACATCCAAACACAGACTTTATTCTTCCCTCTCTCCCTCTCTCTCTCTCTCTCCTCCCTGCTCACCCTTCTTTGTCCTCCAGGTCTCTGCCGCTGTAGTCGAAGAAGATGTTGCTGTCTTCGGCCAGAGCTCGCTCCATCACCCTGATGCTGCAGTCAAAGAAGCTCTGAAACTCGGAGGAGTGAAGGATCTGCTGCCTCTCCTCCTCTGTCAGCTCCCGGAGCATTGGGAACGAGCCTGGAAGAGGTGATGTTAGCATTAAGACACAAGTTCACCTACAGGACGCCTGTTTTAAATAGTCTCCAAATTTAGGATGTTTTCTCTTAAAATTCTTACAACTCAAATCCAATTTACCTGTACTTAGATAATTGTTTACACTAGTGAACAGTGCCACTTATCACCACAAGTGTGTGCCTCTCATGACTGAGACCAGCTGTCACACACAACTCCAGCACCAACTCAGGGAAAGATGTGGAGACACAATGATTGTCTAGGACAAAATCAAACTTAATACATCAACAACTGAGGAGGAACTGTATCAATTTTAAAATAATGTTTTCCAATGTAGCAACAAATTTGAACAACTGTCATCATGGTAAATCAGAACATGTTGCTCATAGACTGTATATAGAATGGACGCCTTCTGCCTCCTCGCTTGGTGAAACCACTGCGAGAACAGCACCCTCTGGTGATGGGCTGCAGTATAGGTCATAAATCCCGCCTCCTCCAGCAATCCCTATGGAACTGTGGACAAACGTTAGAAATTAATTACACAGACTATAATTTGTTTTCCCCCCTTGTTGTGATGTTGACATGTAGTTACTGTAAGACTGGTTTGAGCTCAAGTCCTCTTTTTTCTGTACAGCTCCATTTTTAAAAGTTATTAGAGGATTTGTGTTTTCTATGATTGACACTTGATACAGCATATGGGCGTATGAAGATAGCGTGGCTCACCCAGGGGATACAATGTTTGAGCCAAGCATCATCACAGCAACTTTCCCACCGAATGTGTACAATGCTACTGTACAAGTGGTGGAGTGCGTACAACGCTACTGTGCAATGTTGGTTGGGAAAAAACATGGAATTACTGAGAGCCTTTTGGCTTCAAATCCGATATTGGTGGAAGGCGGAACCAAGATGTCCACAGTATATACAGTCTATGGTATTGCTCACTACCAGACCCGTCAATCAACAAGTAGAGCACAGTTCATTTTAATTTTTATGCTATTTAAAGCTCCTATGAGGAGTTTCTACCTTGCCATCAAACAGGCTGAAATGAATAGATATGTCTCCTTATGATCTGAAAAAGCAAACAAAACCATCAACAAGAAAAGTGTTGACATGTGAAAAGTGATCCAAAGCAAGTGAGACCATCAGTAACTTGACTGGTTATGTTCTGGTTGTACTCTGTAATGCTTTAAAGCCATTGTAAGAATGTTAGACCATATGATTGACAGCTGGCTGAAGACACAGCCTTTTCCCATGGTTCATAATATGTGATTCATTTTACTATGTAAAGACAACAGGATGTGGTTTCGTCTGAAAACAC